ACAATAAATAAATATCAACAGATGCATGGATTGAAGTTCCTATGGGTGAGAGGAAGGGAGTGTGAACAGAAAAAGAAATACAAAAGCTATGGGTGACAAATCCAGGTTTAGTAAAAGTCATAAAAAAGTAATCGGAAGACAGATGGGGGACAGGATTTACATAGAATCAAGATGAGTAGATAAACATATGAACAGCAGAGGACTTTTTGAAATGGCATATTGGTATGGGCTCAAAACCAGAAAATATATATAAAGTGGACATGAGAACCTACTTGTAGCTGGTATGTCGGCTAGTGTTGTAAGATATGTAATGTGCCAGGAAGCTACTGTCGCTGTTCAACCCATTGTCAAGATATAGCCTAATTTATGCATGCCTCTTTCTAAATGCCTTTTGAAGTTTTTTTTTTAAATTAAAGGACTGCCATTCTGAGTTTATGACAAGGAATATCCAAGAATGCTGGAGTGTTTACCAAGCACAGGTAGACTTTAGTTGTTGATGAGTGCCTTCAAGTCGTTCCTGACATATGCTGGCACAAAGGTGAACTTAGCACAAGGTTTTCTCAGCAAGATATGTTCAGCGGGGATTTGTCCTTATCTTCCTTTGTGGCCAAAAGTGAGTGACTTCCCCAAGGTCACTTAATTGGCTTCCATGGCCAAGTGAGGAGTCAAACCATGATTTTCAGACTTATAGCGCAATGCTCTCATAGTCTCTTTGTTTATTACATTTCTTTTCTGGTTCTAAACCCCCATAGCAATACACCATTCCAAGAACTTCCTCAGGCATTCATGTATTTATCTACTTACTTCTCTTGCCTTTATATATGACGGTTATCCAGAAAGTAAGGTTACAAGTGTTTTTTTTTTAAATACAAAGAATGAATATATTTTAATAAAACTTACATGGATTATAGCATAGGTATTACATTATTTTTCCACATCATCACCATTCAGTTCAATACATTTTGCCATCTGTGGGATGCCTGTGTCATAGAAGTTTCCCTCTGCCTTTTTCCGCCAGTTTGTCACTTCCATTTTCACCTCATCGTTGTCGGAAAGGTGTTTTCTACCCAGGTGTTCCTTCAATTTAGTGAACAGATGATAGTCACTATGTGCGAGATTGGGGCTGTGAGAGGGGTGGCTTAAAACATCCCAACCAAATGAAGTCAACAACTCTTGTGTTGCATGAGCGGTGTGTGCACATTGTCATAAAGGAGACAGACTTCTGCCGTCAGCATCCCATGACGTTTGTTTTGGATTGCTCTGCAAAGTTTCTTCATGGTCTCACAATATATTCCGTACCCATTTCGTCACATGCTGTCTTGACATTACGTCCTCTCCATAAACTGAAATGATTTCACAATGAATCGCAGTGAAGTTCATGCCCTTAGCGTATTACAGTACAAACTTTTCACTTGGAGGGAAACTGAATGAGGATGCTCATCTCTAACTTTCACAACACCAGTTGATGAGCTACTGACGATTGGCAGTGCTCCTTCACTTCCACTGTCTTCCTGCTACACGGCAGTGATACCAACTTTCCCCGTGAAAATTCCCCATGAGAGCTACGTGCCTTGTAACCTTACTTTCCAAATAACCCTCTTAGATCTATTCTTCTAACTACTCTTTCAGACAGTCATTGAAACTGAATGTGTCATCCCAGCACCATACTCACAAGTTTTGCATTTCTATTTCTATTCATAGGCAAACATTGGAGTTGTAGTTCTACAAGGTATTTAGCCTTCTTTGCCAAAGCATGCTGGTGCCTCACTAAACAAGGATTCCATAGCACTGAGCCAAAGTACTGTAGTTATAGTGGTGTCAACCTGCATTAAGTCCACAGTGTAGATACACCTTTCATCTCAAAGGTGCTACAAGATTCCTTTGTAAACTAACAGTTATGTCTTTGAGTCTTATAAACAGGACAGACTTGTTTGTTCACCTTAAGTATTGTTTACACAGTGATGGAGCACACTTTTTTGCACACAAGGTCCCAAGTTCAATCCCTGGCATCTACAGTTAAAATGTCCAGGTAAAGGCTGGAAAGACAACTCCCCCAAGAAAGAATGAGCAAAGAATCCCTGCCAATCCAAGCACACAATTTGAAGCTAGATTAAATAATACACTGATTCCAAATGCAGAAAGTTCAGCTAATTTGAATATGTAAATTAAATAATGTATGAGAAAATACGTTAAAGAAATGCTAAATACCATGTGCTAGTGGCAATGATTCTAAACTTATGGCCTTCCAGATATTTTTAATCTCAACTTCCTGGAGTATCCGCTGGCAAGGCCAATAGTTTAGAGACCTAGGAACACTTGGAGGGCAAAAGATTAACAAATAATTGTTTAGAGCGGGGCAGAATATAGATAGCAGACATCTCTGTGTAATTTGTGGTTTGCAGTACATCGATGGGAGTTCCCTTAAAAAACTAAAAACATTATCTTCCTAAATTGTGGTGGAGCCTTCTTCTCTGGGGGTTATTAAACTTGCACTGGATGGCCATCTGTTGGAAATGCTTTGTATTCTTGCATGGCAGAATTGGATTGGATGGATTTGATGGTCCTAGTGGTTTCTTCCAATGCTATGATTCTAGGTTGCTGAAAAAAATAATATTTAGGAAATAGAAAACTCTTAGAAAACTAAAAGTAGACTTCTCTGTACAGGATATTTAAAGTTGATTCTAATGGCAGCCCTAGGCAAAATGTTTGTTCATGTGTGCCCTGTATCTTGATTCTTAGCATATATTCCTGAGTCTGCTCTAGAGACTAAGACTACAAGATGTATTTCACAGAATTATAAAGCAGGAAGAGACCACTAGGACCATCCAATCCAACCCTATTCTGCCATATAGAAAATACACAATCAATTTAGTGAGATTTATGACTCCAGATACCATGGTTTTCACTCAACCATGGAAAACCCCTGGATGACCTTGTGTAAGTCATATTTTTTTCTGCTTCATAGGAAGACAATGAGAAACCCTTTTTGAGGTTTACTCTTTGGATTAAAAAAAATTAAATCAGTGGATGGAGGAATCGTGGGTGCAGAATCCATGGGTATGGAGTACCAATTGTACAGTCTTTTTGCCTCAGAACCCCAAAGACTGTACTCACTTCCCCTTCTCTCAGGATCTTCTGAAGCTGCAGCGGAGTTCTCAAAGCGGCTGTAGGAACACTTCTGAGCCAAAAGGACATCCTTTGAAGGGCTGTTCCTAAAAAAGATGGGAAGGGGAAGACAAGCAGGAGGATGGAAATGATGAGGCAGCAGGAAGCAATGGGTAGGATTGGAGCCCCAAGTAAGTATGTCGTGGGACAAGAACGAGCTTTGGGGAAAAGACTGATGGAATAAGATCAAGGTGGTTGCCTCTGCTCAAAGGGATATTTATTTATTGACCACACATTTATGCAACCCATCAAACCAAATTCGATTGGATTTTAACTGTGGCCCATTGCTATGGAATCATGGGAATTGTAGTTTGGTGAGAAAACAGCACTCTTTGGCAGAGAAGCCTAAAAACCTTGTAAACCTACAGCTCCCAGGTTTCCATGTTATTGAGCTATAACAGTTAAAGTGGTTTCAAACTGCATTAATTCTGTAGTGTAGGTCTAAACCTGGACTTTCCAGGTCTAATGTTGAATTTAATTTATCAGTGTTTCCCAACCTGTGGTCCGTGGACCACCAGTGGCCCGCAAGAATGGAAATATGGTCTGTGGCATCACTATTACACCATTGCCTGGATTATTAAATATGGTTTTCTGTGGGTGAGCAGATGGTGACTACTGGATGGCATATGTTCTGTATCAGAAACTAGAGCTGATTTAATCTATCCGATGCAATTTTCTGACTCAGCACCCCAAATAACCACACTGAATCTAAAGTTGACCAAAAACTGATTCGTAACCCTTTAGGTATTAATGTTGGAGAGTGGTCCCTGGTCAAAGTGGTCCCTGGTCAAAAAAAAAGTTGGGAACCACTGATTTAAATACATAGATATGAACCAAAGGGTGTGGCTAGCCTTCTGAGATTGTGTCTTTTTGGACAGAAGGACCCTTTTACAGTGTCGCATACAATGTTTTCGTACAATGTTTACAATGTTTTCCAACAGTTGCGTAGTTCTTTTTTCATATTTTTTTAGCATTCAATCTTCTAAACGTATTGTTGGCTCTCAAAATTCCTCTATTTTACTGCTTTGATAATTGAATGACTTGTGTTGCTTTGGTTGTGATTTGACTGTTTTGCAATTTTTATGTTTATGAACTGTCCAGCAAGGCAATTGCCTGTCAGCTGGCATATAAATAGAAATATTGATTTATATATTTTTACAAATGACAGCACAACCAGGACAAGGAAAACTGCTTTGTATCTAGAAGGTTCAATCCACAGCGTTAAGGTAAAAGGCATAAAGTTATCACATTTGGAAAGAGATAAAAAGTCAACCAGGTTTTCCAAACATGTCATCAGCCATGTGAGCTAAACAATAAATTTAATCATTCCCAACCAAGAAGCAACTGGTCATCAAGAATAAGCAGCCCAAATTATTGAGCACATGGGGCTGGGATAGGGCACCAGTATTTTTTGACTCTATTGAATGGATAAGAAGGGCCATAATATAGATATATGCATTTAGACTACCACAGCAGCGTTGAAGGTTTTCATGGCCAGAATCACTGGGTTGCTGTGAGTTTCTGGGTCTGGCAATGTTCCATACTGAAAAACTCACAGCAAACTATCACGGTAGCCTTTTTTTTTTCTACCAATGATTCTCGGGTGGTTTTACAGTTAGGCCGTTACCCCAAAAGTCCTACATCAAATGACCGTATTTTAAAAGAAGAAAGGAAAACTGTAAGACCTTCTTGACCTGATGTTTAAAAGGAAGACTATGCTTTTGCCCTGTTGTTTACTGGGCCATGCATGCGTATTTTATATTAAATAAAGAAGATTTCATTTAGAAAGAGAGGCTATCAGTTGTGTAACTTCCAGAAAAGACAAGACCACTCAATGAAATTTTAAAAAATCCAAACTTTATTGAAATGTAAACAAAAGTTAACGTTTGTCCATGCCATACATCAACAGCTGAAGTCAGTTCAGGCTCTGGGTGCTTTAATAAGAAAGGGTGGTATAGAAAGGGAATAAGAAGGGCAGACCTCACAGAGGGATGCTGTAGAGTTGCAAGAACAAAGATACTGGAGCACTGGAAGGTGTCGATCTTAAAAGTCTAATATATGCTATCAAATGGTGATGTTTCCTTCAGCAAACCTCACAAGCTCAAGAAAACTGTTCTTAAGCTACTCAACAGTTATAATTTGTGCACCAAGAACTCCTGCGACTTTTGGTTTCACTTTTACATCAGAAACCTCAGTGCTGTAACTGTGGCTGTAACATAAAAACTGTTTCTACAGTTGAAACCCAGACAAAGAAAGAGGAGTAGAATGCTTCCAGCAAACCCAATGAAAAGCCAACCTGTTTGTCCTCAGCATCAGAAGATCAGGGGCATGCTCCAGGAACTTAGGAGGAACTATTGTTAATAAGTTGTCATTTACAGGTCTAAGTTTTACATAAGAGATATGGACCTTTAGATATTTTGAGATTCAATTCCAAGAGGATCCAGATAGCACCACCAATATCTGGAAAGTCAGGAGAGAATGCTTCTGGAACATGGCCATACAGCCTGGAAAACTCACAACAACCCAACAAGAACATGATCTGCAATGACAACTAAACAATTAAGACTGCTGCATGCATGCCTTCTGACTTCCAGGTGGAGAGGACAAACAGGAGCTGAAAAATCCACCACCCTCTGAATGTGGTTGTGAACTTTCTGGGGGCAGCTAGGCAGCTGCTGTTCAACAGTTATGTGGACAGAACTAGCAAAACAGTTCCTAGGAAGCCAAGCGGTTACCATTAAAGCTGTGCCCATGTTGCCTGAGGGCACAACCACGTGATGACATGCCGTGTTCGTGGGTCATAGAGGAATCACGTACTACATAGTCACACAAAACATTTGGCATTTGCAAGCAAAAGCAGATCCTATATTGGCACATGAAATGGATAATACCTCAGTCATGGCTGCTTTCAGTGCCTCTGTTCCTCAGATGCCTTTTAATATATTGATGCCAGTTATAGCTGGGAACAAAATAAATAAGGTGAATCCATGACTTATAGACACTGGTGCATGTTCCAGTTGTGCCACCCAAGCAGATAACATGGGCTTTGAAATTAGCAGCCTAAGACCCTGAACTTTCATCAAGTAATGAGGATTTTTTTTGGCCTTTAAGATAGAGAGAGGGCATAATAATTTACAGGTACACCTCAGCTAACAAAGCCGCTGGCAAAGAAGTTCCCTTTTAATGCCTCTCTACATCTCCACATCTCTCTTGTCTTCTTCTTCATCTGACTAGTGGAATTTTTTTAACAGTGTCTGTATTATGATGGTGAAAAAGTGATGTAGCAATACAGATGTGGATGTCAGATTGCATCAGTATGCCTTTAGAAACCAATGCAGGAAATCTTCACATGAGAGAAAGTGGAATTTTACTGTAGCCAGTCAATGGCACATATAGTTATCTAAGTCTGATTTCCCATGTGCATAGTATTCATTTGGAATAGTTACTTAAACTATTCTGTAAGGTAGGAATCTGTCTCCATTCTTTCTATGTACCAAATTTTCTGTTAAAAAGTAATGGCCAGCGACATGTCTACAGGCAGCCCCAAGGTACGAAAAAGATAGGTTTGTTCCTAAGTTGAATCTGTATGTAAGTCTAAACAGGTGCATTTCTAAAGTGTAACTCCATCCATCCGTGTGTGTGCATGTATATACACACACACACACACACACTTGAGTACCCGGTGGTGCCCGAGTTATTTGAGAAAGGCATTGTTTGTTTTGGGGTGTAGGTAATATCATTTAGTGGGCAGGAGAGGGTTAAGGGAAAGGCAGTGGGCGGAGTCATGCAAATTGCATATCAATAGAGAGAGTAAGGAACCCTGGGATGTCTATTCTGAAGGAAAAACAGAACATCTAGGATGAAATTGTCCCTGAATAAAAGCCTTCATTTGGATGTGCAGTGTGGTGTTTGGGAAGAGCATTGGCAGGGGTTGGGAGACATGTTCATGGTGCTCGCTCTAACCAGCAATATTAGTGGAGGGAGTGTCTTTGGAGTCTTCTCAGCACTTGAACTATAGCCTGTTTGTGGAGGTCGGAAGCTGTTGAAGTGAACATCTCCGCCACATACACACATTTTCAAGTTAATTATGTGTATAGATAATAGATATGAGAGAGATGTGGATAGCATAGGGAAGGGTGAACTGCTGTGATGTTTGTTTTGCTGTCTGTACCTTTTGTTGTTCAGAAGATTTCACCTTGTTGTGGAAACAAGAATTGGTGATAAAGCTTCAGTGGAGGCTCCTTTTCCTCATGATAACTCTTTCAGGAGTGAATTTCCCTTCCTAGGGGTAAATCTCCCTCACTTCCTGTTGTCTCACCCCTGTTCTTATTTGAGTCATTTGAAAGTTGGATGTTTGTAACTTGGGGAGTGCCTAGATTTGTTAACCAAGACATACCTGTATTTTTGTTTAGCCACAGGCAATCACAATAACCGTTTTAAGTCAAATATGAATAAGCTTAGCACTTATTCACAACCTCTGAGGATGCTTGCCATAGATTCAGGTGAAACGTCAGGAGAGAATGCTTCTAGAACATGGCCATATAGCCTGAAAAACCTACAACAACCTACTTAGCACTTATTCTTCAGGCTTCAGATTCAGATTCAGGTTTCAAGCCAGACTTTCCTGGTTTCAAAAACCAGAATCTGTATAGTGCTCCTGAATAAGAGTTATTACAAAATTTTCATCCTGACCTTTCTCCAGAAATAGCTAAAAGAAAATAAGATCACTACTCCACTCTTTTTCCTCACAACAACCCTGTGAGGTAGGTCAACTGAGAGAGTCATTTAAGCAAAATCATTCCAAGAGCGTTATTGGCTAAGTGGAGATCTGAACTGAGGTCCCATTCCTACAGCCCATCTACTTCACCACATTGGCTTCCTGGTCTTGATTTGAATACAATTACCAATGAGTAAATATCTAAACGAAGAAAGCTAAGCAACTTCATGTGTTCATCGCTAGGGAAGTTGCTGGTTTTCCTGGCACAGAGTCTGGCTATCTTGGCACACAATTCATCTTCCTCCTTCCCAGTTCTCACTTTACATACATTTACTTCTCTATTAGGCTTGTCCTTATGCATACCCAACTCCTTTTTCCTTCTTGCAACCAATTCCAGCTTCAAGGCACACAAGTCTCCCATCTTCTGGTTTCCTCCTCTCTCATCCTCTGAACAATCAATTGCTCTATTGTCCCGGGGAAAAAGTTCCTGCTTTTCAAGTTCAGGTAACCATTTCATCAGAGCTTGGAAACGTTACTTGCTCTTTCTAGAAAAGCTTTTTTGGATAATAGCCACGCAGACCAGGGCAATGACAGGAGACGTAGCCCAAAGAAATAATTTGTCCAAGCTCTGCCATTTACACAGCCTTATAAAGGCTTCCCCTGTTCTGCAAGAATAGAGGCAACTGCTGTGTATTTTTGAAATCATCAGAATCACGTCTGTCGAAAGAATAACGCAAAACACACAAAACATCCTTTATAGGCTACAAGTGCCCCACTCCAAAACAAAACATCACCTCAAAAACACTACAGACCACACAACTGACACCCCATGCAGCAGAGAAAGACAGGGGAATGGAGCAGGGCTGGATTGGCAGAGAAGAGGGCCATGCTTGAATGCCCTTGAAGGGTTTCTATTGAAACACTTAATAACAGTGGGCTTTATTAGTCTCCCCTGGATGCTTGGCCTGAGCTCCATAGCTACCAGCAAGATATTTTTAAAAATATGGACAGTGAGCAAATCAAACTGCTATTAGTATTCACTGTGGCTACTGGGAAAAAACAAACCCACACCACTGCAAAATGGAAACCTAAGCCACAGAGAACTGGATGTTTACTTTGACTCACTCCATTCCCATTTCTTCGTAAAGCTGTGAATGTATGGTACAAGAAGCCCTAAAATACAGTAGATGGAGCAACTGCTGAGCTTATTTCTGTGTTGGGATGATGTTTCTCCTTTTGCTCTGTATTTGTAGGCAGGGCCATAGCCATGTGTGTGTGTGTGTGTGTTAAAGTTTAACCCTGCCCTGAAATCTGTCAAGTTAAAAAAGAAACCTGGTTTATTCATAACTTGGTTAACCAGTTAAAATTCTTGAGTAAACCAGGTTTTATTTGGGGGGGGGGGGGGTTAGAATCATAGAATCAAAGAGTTGGAAGAGACCTCATGGGCCATCCAGTCCAATCCTCTGCCAAGAAGCAGGAATATTGCATTCAAATCACCCCTGACAGATGTCCATCCAGCCTCTGTTTAAAAGCTTCCAAAGAAGGAGCCTCCACCACACTCTGGTGCTCTGGAGAAGACTGGTGCTTCTTTTAGGTTATAAAGTTGAACTAAACTTTTGCCTTTCACCATTTACTCAAAAAAGGGGATGGTTCTATTTTTGTTTTGTTTTATAAGAGTCAACGTCCTATACTTACTTACTCACGGATCAGTTGATCCAGGTTTTTGGGATTGATTTGTTTGATCCCCTCATAGCTTCCCATCCTTTTTCAAGCTTTTCAAATATGTCCACAAAGGTGGGTAGCCTACCCACATATCCATGTTACTCATTCTCTAGCTTGCCCCATATTTCTAAGTCAGTGAATCATCACAAACAGCCTGAAAGAGAACAAACCAACTGTGTTCCATTCCATAAAAGTTTTGCCTGGCTTCCTGAAGACAATCATTTTGAATGGAGTCATCAACAAAACGTACCAAACAAAATAAGGACTTGTGGCACTTTAAAGGCTAAATAAATATATGTAGGGCCACAAATATCCACAGATGAGAATCTATTTGATCAGAAAAATGATGAAAAATGGAAAGGACTTCTGCTGACTAAACAAACATTGACATCATGAGCTTTTATGACATCCTCCCAGGCAGCTGCTCTGACTTGAGGAACCTCTAAAGTGGCAAATTCACTACAAAATCTACTTACCAGATAAACAGCACAAACCATATGCACCAAAGGCATCAACACCTCTTCCCTATTACCTCCAATTCATGAAATAAAAGCAACCATCTACCTCCAATCTAAGAAAAAATAATAGATGGCCAAAGGGCAAAATTATGCCTTGTTCAAAGAGCTGCAGAACCATCACTTAAATAACTTGATCTTTTTTTAAACAGTACTGCGAAATTTGCCATCTGAGGCGGATTGCTTAACCTTGCTGAAAACTAGACTTTGCTCTTACCAGACCTTTAAAAAGAGATGTCTTCTAGAATTGTGGTAATTTATAGGAGTCCTCTGTCCATTTTCTTCTTTGGATCCATTTCTAACAGTCACAACAAAGCACTGACAAGAGCTCAAGGCAGGTCTGTTTGGCAAAAGGCTGCAGTTCTGAGTATGTGTAATACATTGTAGGATATTTTGTCTCAAACACCTACATTTCCACCTATAAACTCTGTTTGCTTTGGAACTGAAGCACAACATAATAAATACTCCGAAAGACCTTTTTAAGCCAAGCAAAAGGATGTGCTCTTGTAAAATGCAGCTAAGTTCCTTTTCTTAAGGGCTTTTGGGGATTATGGCATAAAAAAGTAAAGACAGACCCCACCCCACCCCCAAAGAACTCTCACAGTCCCACACCATATAAATAAGTCCACATCCTTAGATATCCTACCCATAAAATATTATAAAAAAGAAGGGGATGAGGAAATTGGATGTAAAACCAAATCTCACTTCTAGAAAGAACTCAAGACACAATTGGAGGCCCAAGAGTTGGAGAGACACAGCAAAGACCGGCGATCAATGACTGTTTTCAGTACGATTCAGAGAGCTGGTGGTGAAAAGTGGGGGAAAGAGAAGAACAGAAAGGGAGGGTAGATAGTAAAAAGGAAAAAAGAAAGAGACAGGTTAGATTCCAGATGGACTGAGGGGGAATCACCATCAAATTTCTAAAGATAATAGTCAGTCCTCCATATTTTCAGGTTTGACTTGTGCAGATTTGATTTAAATGTTCTCTCAAGGAATTGCAAGGTCTGACCTATGGTCAATTTCCACTGGAAATGGACCAGAGAGTTGTACAAAAGGATCTAGAAATTCCTAGAGATGTAGTCTCTTAGATTAAAAAACAGTAATTTTTATTTGCAGTTCTTCACTTTTATGGGAGCCCTGTGCCACTAACTCCAGTGAAATGTGGAGGGTGGACTCTAATACATATTGTCTATTCTCAATTGATCTGTATAAGAAAGATACTCTGAGTTCACAATACTTTTGATACCAATCTTCACAAATAGATCCCATTTTTGAGTGACAGAAAATAGAAAGGGGCATCTCAAAGCCGAATGACTGAGGACTAGAACCAACATTGCTAAGGAAGAAACCAGAGATGCTGGTGCAAAGTTAAGGAAATGCTACAGTGGAGTGAATAATTATTTGGTAGATTTTGGAATGGCACTTTCATGGCTCTCCTATGATTTCTATGAATTGTGACATGGCGGATTCAGAAAGACAGTTTTTATGTTTCTAAATAGCGAAACCATCAAAGGAAAGTGGGCTCATGTATGACTGCCCAACCTGTTTGGTGACACATTCATGCAGCAGAAAAGGGCCCAACCTATGCGCTGTATTATGCCTCACATGAGAATTTCCCACCAAATATAGATGGTGAAAGACAAAAATCATCCATGGATGCCTTTGGAAGAAACTTTCTAGCGATCTCCGGAAGTGAGATCAAAAGATGTTGCCCTTCTCTTAGAACATGCTTTCATGGGGCTGTTGATTAGCATAAACAAAAGAGATACACTTGTCCTTAACCAAGAGCTGAAAATCTTTATTATGACAGACAACACAAAGAAGAACGCATGCAAACAAAAGCTGAATTAGAGCAGATGTAATTTAAAACTGAGATAAGCAGCCAAGAGGTTAGGGGGAGACGCAATCTTTAGCAAAAGATTTGAAGAAGAAAAAAAGATGGTGCATGGGAACATTTCTGAAAACAAATGCCAGATATTAGGATACAGAATTAAAGAGAGAAGGAATGTAATGGGGAAATTCAAAATCATACTGCAGGGATATTAGATATCTAAGATAGACTTATCAGGAATAAGCCTATTAGCCCTAGAGGCCACTTGGTTTTCATGTCCGTGTGTGTGTGTACTAAACACCAGTATATTTTATCTCTGTGATCCATGATCAATATTCACTCTGAGTGGGGGGTCAATATGTATTATTCACCCTTGTCTGGAACTACATTGGGGTTAAAGAGACTAGCAACTAAATTACCCCCCGTTTTGATGGGCTGCACACTGCCACCATTCAACCATGAAGGTTCTTGAATGCTAGACAGATTCTATGTAGCATCCCAGACACTCAGGTGGTCTTCAAAAAATACAGAGCACTGTGATATGAACAGAGGCCAACTTTCTTAAAAAATCAAGCTACTTTGATTTTTCTTATTTTATGTCATCTATTCTAAGTAAGATTCTAGATCTTTAGGTGCAAAGATATGCTTAATAATGCCTCTTGAAATCTCAGAAGACAGAAGTCAACTCCTGGATATCATCTTGAGTGATTTATCAGGATGGAGAATTAAATGACTGATGCAGCTCAATCTCCACAGGAGATGCATTCCCAGCCATACTGAAGTTACGTGAACACATACATTACCTCTCTTCTGGTCCCAATATAACATTGCAATGAAAGACCGAGAGATTGTATTACTGGTGATTGGTTTTTGTTGAGCATTGTTTTGATTGAGTTTCAACGCTGCTGTTTTATATTCTAATGTTTTATTTAATTCTATTCTATGTGTTCTATCTGGATTGTTATATTTTACTATGCTCTTACCTTAATTGTGTTTTGCCTTAATGGATTGTTTTGTATTTATGTCTTGTGAGCATTTGTCCCATATGTACGCCACTCCGAGTCCCTTCGAGGAGATGGTGGCGGGGTATCAGAATAAAGTTGTTGTTGTTGTTGTTGTTATTCCTAAAGCAATATTGTCTATAGAAATGTGCTGGACCCTTCAATACAAATCTATGGCAACTTTCATGGAAAGTAAAATGAGCTCCCCACACTTGAAAATTTGACTTTTGTAAATTTATAGAGGCTGCAGAATTCAGCATTTCTTGTGCAGGATCTGGATTGTCTGGATGCAGAAGTAAGCACCCAGTACATTCTTTGAAATAACAACAACAACAACTTTATTCTTATATCCCATCATCATCTCCCCGAAGGGACTCAGGGTGGCTTACAGATGGCACAAAGTGCCTAAAAACAAACATAAAAATGAATACAATATAAAATGCAATAAGACACATGCATATATAAAAATATCAATTCAAACTCAATCAAGCTACGCTCCTCTAACCGTATCAGTAAATTACTGACACCATGGCCAGGCTGTAAACATTAGAATAAAATAAGTGCCAGCTGCAGTAATAGAGAGATGGCATGGGATAAACTGCAGCATACGTGACTATGACTACTATGTAGGACAACTTGGGGCAAAATATTCTCAAAGACTTGATTGAAGAGCCACGTCTTCAAGTCCCTATGAAAGGAATGGCTATTCTGGAGTTCCTTGGGAATCAACTCCCTGCTAGTGTTTTGGTTCTGTGGTCCTTAAAGGAATAAATGCTTTCCGAAATGGGCAAATACAGTATTCTTTCCCAGCTAGCGCAGGGTTCCACACATGCCTTTCCATACCTGGTTCTCCGCCTCTGTGAAACTGAATCACAGGGCTCCCCGTTCATCAGATGCTGGGCAGTCGAGTGCGGAGGGCAGAGGCGCAGATTCTTCAGCAGCTCCTGTTCATTGAGAAAAGGCTTGAGGCACCCCCGCACCGGGGAGTTCCCTACACTGCTGGAGCGGATCATTGAGTGAGACTGGTTGAAGGGCCATGGCGGTTCAACCTCTTCCTTCAGGACTACAAGGGAGTCGGGATAAAGCAATTAAAAAAAAAACCAGAGAAAAAGCAATAAAAATATAAGTCCTTCCAGCTTTCTCCATGTAATCTGGACCATGACTCTCATAATCCCCAGTCTTCATAGCTATTATGCTGATTGGGTATTATGGGCATGATAGTCCAACACATCTGTAAGACATGAGATTGTAAGTAAGCCTGTCACACTTTTAAAAAGCTATAGAGGTTATGTTTCATAGAATCATAGAATCAAAGAGTTGGAAGAGACCTCATGGGCCATCCAGTCCAACCCCCTGCCAAGAAGCAGGAATATTGCATTCAAATCAACCCTGACAGATGGCCATCCAGCCTCTGTTTAAAAGCTTCCAAAGAAGGAGCTTCCACCACACTCCGGGGCAGAGAGTTCCACTGCTCACAGTCAGGAAGTTCTTCCTCATGTTCAGATGGAATCTCCTTTCTTGTAGTTTGAAGCCATTGTTTCGCGTCCTAGTCTCCAGGGAAGCAGAAAACAAGCTTGCTCCCTCCTGCCTGTGGCTTCCTCTCACATATTTATACATGGCTATCATGTCTCCTCTCAGCCTTCTCTTCTTCAGGCTAAACATGCCCAGCTCCTTAAGCTGCTCCTCATAGAGCTTGTTCTCCAGACCCTTGATCATTTTAGTCGCCCTCCTCTGGACACATTCCAGCTTGTCAATATCTCTCTTTCTTCCAATGAAAACACTTTAGGTCTTTTAAAATCCAAAGCAGGATAATTACTTGGGAGTGCATCTACATTGCAATGGAGCCTCAAATGGCGCAATGGGTTAAACCGAATCCAGGGAGAGCGGATTGAGCTCCCTCTGTCACCTCTGGTTCCCCATGCAGGAACATGAGAGAAGCCTCCCACCAGGTTGGCAAAATATCACACATCTGGATGTCCCCTGGGCAACGTCTTTGCAGATGGCCAATTATCTCACACCAGAAGCGACTTGCAGTTTCTCAAGTCGCTCCTGATAAGAAAAAAAATCTACATTGCAGAAATATGCAGTCTGACACCACTTTAACTGCTATGGATCAACACTAATGAATCCTGGGAGCGGTAGATTTATAAGGTGTTTAGCCTTGTACTGTTTCTCCAACTCTGCGACAGCATCTACTCCATCTAAAGATTAATTCCCCAATTTCACTCTCGAAGGGAATTATTGAAACTTTCACAATACAGAAAAAGTATCACTTATAAATCTCTTACACTCTCGGTCTGATAGGGAGTATGGTTTGATCTCCCCCTCATGACGTTTTGGAGGCATCTTTCTCATTGGAGCTGTGGGGAGAAAATAAGGTACGTTATTAAACAAAGGAATGCCTCCTGAGATGTTAAGCATTTTTAGGAGCTAGTATTTTAAGAGCATAGTTGTTTCTATACATCTAAAGTTTCTGCTATGAAAAAAGTTCTAAATTATGTGAATATATGAGCAAATAAATGCGCTAACTGATGTAGAGGTGAAAAGAATGATTTCATAGATGAGGTATGCACTGGAAACACAAAATCTTTAGACACAACTAACACTTTGTTGAGAGAATAGCTTATTCAACAAATTCCAAAGCCTTCAAATCATTTCTGACATATAGTGATTCTAAGTTGACCTTATCAGGGGATTTTCTGGCAAAGAATGTGTGTTTCATACAGAAAATATATTCTTAGATAGAGAAGCTTCACTGACCAGTCATGTTTAACTAGCATAATGCCACACCTTTTCCATATACCTAACCCAAACATAGCCATTTTAGGTGTGGAGGGTCAGCTCTATTTAGTACTTGGGTGGGAAGCCTGCTATAGACCAAGGCTTCTTAAACATTTTCCACTCATGATCTCTTTCCACTCTAGAATTTTTTACACAATCCCAAGTATATATTGTCAGAAATATTAAAAATTAACTAGGTATTTTTAATTACAAAAATATGAGTCAAGCACTGAAAAGGTTAAATTGATGCAATAACTCAGCAAAAGTTGCAGGTGTGCCTGTAGCTTAGTAACCGTCAGGTAAACCTCAGTGGGACAAAGGTCTCAGTCTGTGAGAGAAGGCCTCACAATGAGAGGTAGGCCTTAGTCTGTGAGAGAGGCTTCTGTGTGAGGTAGGCCTTAGTCTATGAAAAGGCTGAGTGTGAGAAGGCCTGGTGTGAGAAGCTTCAGTGAGAAAAGCCCCAGGTTTACTACAAAGAAAAGCCTCCTATGAAAGAGATAACATTGGTCTGTGTGTTTTTGTTCTTTTTATGACTTTGTGCTACTGGCACTGGGTCACGCTGCTGCTAATAAGTTACTCAGCTATATGTTTATGGGGAGGGTCTTTTGTTAATAAGCCCACTTGCCCAACACATACGCACATAAATAAAATAGATATAATAAAATCAAACATTTACTACTAATAAATCAGCATTTGCAAGGCTTGTTAAACAGACTAATTGTTCTTTTCATGCAATACAGCTAAAGCAATTTCTGCAAAGTCAATTGATACAAATGTGCGTGAATGTCTAAGTGGCATTCAGAAAATATTTACTGTTGCCAAATTTTTTGTGACCCCAACATTAAACTAAGAGGACCCCATCTGGTGTTGAGATCCACAATTTAAAAGCAGTGTTGTAGGCTACATTTCAGAAGAAAGAAGTGTCAAAACCACTCTGAGTATTCTATGCCTTAGGAAATCCTATGAATCCTATCCCAGACCTCACCACCTCTGAAGATGCTTGCCATAGATGCAGGCGAAATGTCAGGAGAGAATGCTTCTGGAACATGGCCATACAGCCCGAAAAACTTACAACAACCCAGTGATTTCGGCCAATAAAAGCCTTCGACGATACAAATGCTATGAAATTTATGGGGAAGCCAACAGGCAACTTGAAAGCACATAAACACAAATGCACATACCTACTTGCTGTTATATGCCTTCATGTTGATTCCACTTTATGGAAAATGGATTTAAGGGTTTTCCTGGAAAGACTCATTCAGAGGAGGCTTGCTACTGCCTTTCTCTCAAGCCGAAATAATGTGATTTATGGTCAGCCACTGGGTTTCATCTCTGAGTAGAGATTCAAACCATGTTCTCTTGAAATCCTAGTCCAATATTTATTTATACTGAAATTACTTAATCATCAAAAATAAGGAAGCCCGTGGTGGTGTGGATAATTCTTATTATGACAATTACACAAAATAATAATAGTCTATAAAAAATGAGCACCTTTCTATACTTGTTTCTATGTTCCTAGACATTTAACATGACACACAAACACTGATTTCTATTAACATGAGCACTACGAGCATGTCTTTAAGATTTAAAACAAAAAAAAGGTGATGCTGTGTTGTTCCATGAGACACCAATTCACTTCTTAAACCTCAACTTTATTTAGTTAAAGCAAAACACAAGTGTCTGATGTCTTATCTCGGCAAGATGGATCAACTGCAGCCCTTAAGATGTTCTCAGACTTCATCTCCCAGAATTCATGCTGGTTAGTCAATGGGAGCTTCAGTTGACTGGGAAGATGGTATCCAATACAGAATTACATAAATGGGTACAATTAGGCAGGGAGTATTTATGGCATTGACTCACCACGCTGGTAGCTGAAGAAGCCCTGGAAAACCACAAAGTTGTTCACCTGAAAAAAGAGAACGTACTTTTCAATAAAACAAACTAAAGCAGACATGTTCTATACCACTAAATATGTTTAAGAGTCTGGATTGCTCTGAGTTTTCTGGGCAGTACAGCCATGTTCCAGAAGAATTCTCTTCTGATGTTTCACCCACATCTATGGCAGGTGTCTTCAGAGATTGTGAGGTTTTTTGGAAACTAGGCAAGTGGGGTTTACATATCTATGGAATGTCCAGGGTGGGAGAAAGAACTCTTGTCTGCTTGAGGCTAGTGTGAATGTTGCAATTGGCCATTTTGATTAGCATTGAATAGCCCTGCAGTTTCAAAGCCTGGCTGCTTCCTGCCTGGGGGAATCCTTTGTTGGGAGATGATTAGCTGGCCCTGATTGTTTCTTGTCTGGAATTCCCGTTTTTGAGTGTTGTTCTTTATTTACTAGAATGGTAAATAGCTGGAATGGTAAATAGCCTCTGTGTGTCTGTCTATATATGTTGTGTGTCTATGGCATTGAATGTTTGCCATGTATATGTACATTGTAATCCACCCTGAGTCCCCTGCGGGGTGAGGAGGGCAGAATATAAATACTGTATATTAAATAAATAAATAAATAAATATTGCAGCTAAAGTTGAGTTAAACTACATTAGTTTTACAGTGTAGATACACCATAGATTTCAGAGGCAGCTAGATTTTGTTCATTTTAATGGTTTCCTCCTTTCTGTTGAAATTGTCCACATGATTGTGGATTTCAATGGCTTCTCTGTGTAGTCTGTGTAGAGTGGTCCAACATTTCTGCGTTCTCAAATAATATGCTGTGTCCAGGTTGTCCTTTGCTGAATATAGAATTTGTTGGATTTTCTTAGTGGGTCTGTAGATAGTTTGTAGGTTGTGTTTCTTCATCAGCTTCCCTTTGTGGTCAGTGGTTCCCTTGATGTATAGTAAGAACACTTTTCCTCTGGGTCGATCTTTGTCTTTAACCTTGTGGCTAGTTTTAGTCTTGCAGCTCTTCTGTAAACTCCACCTCCTCCAAGGTGAACTAAACCACCTATACTGGGTTCTATAGGCCAACGGATACTCCACTACAGACATTAGAAGAGCTGCAAGACCAAGAACATTCCACACGTATCTAAACCCCACTTGCCTAGTTTCCAACAAACCTCACAACCTCTGAGGATGCCTGCCATAGATGTGGCGACTGCTTCTGAAACATGGCCATACATACTGGAAAACTCACAGCAACCCCCCGCCCCACAAAGGGGAAAACCACAACTTTCCAGAGAAGACTCCAGGTTTGAGACATATGAAGTATTTATTTGGCTTTCAGAAGGCAGAGGTATTGCAGGGTTTTCCTCTGTCCCAGAGACCAATTCCTTGGAGATACCTTAAATGATAAAACCACATGGCGAAGAGAAACCTACAGATTGTGGGGAGGACTCACTTGAGGGATAGTGTCACTGAGACAATAGTGTTTCCGGAGGAAGGACAGCAGTTTCTCTGAGGGACGGTCGATTGCCAACTGGTGGGGTTCTACTCGTTCCCGCTGGGGAGGAGAAAAAAGGGGGAGAAATTCATATACACCAGTTTCAACCCAGGGACGAAATACAGAAGTTTCCTTAATAGTTAGACATTTTAGAAAGGAAAAGGGTAGAAAATTTTCAACCGGATAGCAAGGCAGGAGAATTTAAACTGAGGCAGGAGAGAGAAGAGTCAACAGATATAATGATTCAATGTTTTTGCATTCCTGACTCAATAAACTGACAATGGGGAATAATCAACTGGTCTTAGATTGCTCCATCTGCTATCCTGAAAATTTGAGGGTTCAATGATGAACTCAAGGTGAGAGAATGAAATACAGGTGCTCTCTTAAAAATCATTCTTTCTAGAGCTCATGATGTCCTTTTGATGAGCCCTCTCCATGAGAGCAGAAAGTTGCTCAGACTGAAATGAGTGTTCCAGTTGCCATTCTGACCTTCAAAGGGGGTTGTGCATTCATCAGTGTCAAAAAGCAGTTTTGTCCATCAAATGTGAATTTAGTAGCTGTCTAGGTATTGCTAGCAGGCTGTTGAATCCAGAAAATCATCAAGCAGCCCTATCAAACCACTTGAAAAGGTAAAAGATAGTAGGAAAACAGGAAACCTGCATTCCAGATGGAGAGACTCAGTCAAGGAAGCCAAGGCCATGTGTCTGCAGGAGTTTGGCAGAGCAGTTGAGAACAGAGTGACTTTGAGGCCCTTATTTATTAATTTATTTACGTACAGGGGACTCAAGGTGAATCACAGAACATACACAGAACATTCTATGCCATTAGACAGACACGGCAGACAACAGATAGAGGTATTTTCCCCAGCTTCGGCATCCTGGAGGTTGTGCTCGATTCCGGCCACGGGAGATGCTGTTGCTCCATCTTCTATGACTTCCTCCATTCTTTGATCACTGGCATTTTCTGGTACTTCCTTTTTATGGTGCTGTAAAATACTCCCCACTTAAGCAGTGCCTAATTTCTCTTCTCACAGCTCACAGCTGTTTTCAAAATGCTTAGGTGGACAGTGAGCTGGGATGAAGGTCAGGTGCTCACCCCAACCCGGGCTTTGAACTGCCAACCTTTTGATTGGTGTGATCTTATTGCTGCTGGTGATTAACCAGCTGTGCTAAAGCCCGGCCCTAGAATAATCATGAGTATAACTTGGCTTGAAAACAGTAAACAGCACAGGCCCAACTAGAGTAAACCCGTTCAATCAACTGCCAAAAAGTGAGTCAACACATAGCTAAATACAATCAATTTGATCACTCTACTTGCATCAAGACCAAAATAGGGTTTAGGTTCTGGTAACTCTGAGGGCTTTGTTTATCGAAATGTGTTTATCTCTTTGTTCTATTCTTAGAGCAAAAAAGGAGTTTGCGAAAAATTGACAGAATCAATAAAACAAAAAGCAGTAGCAGCAATTATTTAGGTGGACGAAACAATCTACACTGCAAAGGCACCTCAGCAATGAGAGCTTTCACCAACATCATCCATGTCAGGCAAACTAACTTGAATAAACAAGTGACTGCTAAAGAATAAACCATGCCAATTGTATGCACCTTCAACATTCCTGTGGGCCCATGAAAAACATTACCACAGCTACAACACATGAGAGCCTTTGCTTCAGTTTAGGAACAAGATCTCAATACAACTAACATCGAATAATGAATTCCCAAAGAGATAACACCTGATCCAGAATATACTCTGTGGAGAGACTTTATTTCAAACCCACAGTCTAACTCAGACATGACCCTCTAGATGTTGCTGAATTTCAACTTCCAGTAGTCCTAGCAAGAACAAATCATCATGATGTATGTTGAGAACTGCACTATAATCACATCTGGAAGGCCAAATGATCTCTACCACTGATCTAACCTATCATGTTACTTGGGATCAAGAAAGAAATCTCCCCACAAATACGGTTAGCTGTTGAGGGATGCTTGTTTTCCATGGGGTAAGATTTAAATGCAGTAGCTCAAGCAGGTCAGGATATCACACAGAACGACTTCATACTGTACCTGTAACATGTAATGGAAGAGCTCCTTGCCATAGCCATGCCTCTGGAGAGACTCGTGTATGTAAAAGTCCAGGACACACAGGGGCTCCACTTCATTATGAGCTCCATTGCGATCCTAAAAGAAAAGAGTAAAAATAAATAAAACTAAACCTGTAACTTAAAAGCCAGGGGTTATGCTGACTACAAGGTAACCATAGTTCAAAGAGGTAACCATTCCAAACTTTGCATAACAGGCTACAAAGTGAGCCAAAAGCTCAAATCTGTGAGCCACCTAATAATTTGCATGTTAAATTCTATTTCCATTTTGGAGATGATCCAGATCCTCAGGCCTCTTTGCTGGAGGGAAGAGTAGATCCACTAAAATTAATGACACCTTTGCTTCCTGATTGTTCAATGTAGATAAACGTTGTTTCATGCACAAAAGTATTAAAAGTATTGTGTAAAAAAACTACCTTCAGAATATGCATATAAGGTACCGTATATATGAAACAAATTAACCTCCTGTTTAGTCACCACTTACTAAAATAAACCTAAACCAAGATCACACACTTGCTGCAATTCCTTGAGATACATTCTGGCCCCAGTTTACCTAGAACATGGAATCAACAACCAAAACAACTCCTCCATCCTATCAAATTGAATTGTTGCCAATTGTAAGCCACCCTGAGTCCCCCTAGGGGTTGAGAAGGGTGGGGTAAAAATGCTCGAAATAAATAAAATAAACAAACAAACAAACAAACAAACCACTATAGGCTGAATATTCAAAATGTTCCAAAATCGCCAACACAGATGGCTGAGAGAGTGACACCTTTGCTTCCTGATTGTTCAATGTAGATAAACGTTGTTTCATGCACAAAAGTATTAAAAGTACTGTGTAAAAAACTACCTTCAGAATATGCGTATAAGGTACCGTATATATGAAACAAATTAACCTCCTGTTTAGACTTGGGTCCCATCTACAAGATCCTTCATTACATACATATAAATATTTCAAAATATCCCCAAAATCCAAAACACTTCAGGTAACAAGCATTTCAGATAAATGATACTGAACCTATATTTTAAGAGATCTGCTTTCCCTTTACCCATTCCACATGTACGTCTCAGATGCCTGCAGAATTATCACAGAAAAGTTAGGAGTTGTTTCTGTCACTGTGTTGCTACCAGTATGGTTTTTGCTATATTGAGTGTTCTGTTCAGATAGGTTACTGTCCACAGCAGGAATGGGCAACTATCAGACCCCAACAACAACTCCTATAATTTCTCATTGGCTATTTCAGCTAGAGAAGATGGAAGTTGTAGACCAGCAGCACAAAGAGATCCACAACTGCCAATTTCTGGTCTACAATGACCTTACTCATTTTCAAGTCCTTACATACATTGGCAGAGAGTGATAGGAATTGCAGTCCAACACATAAAGAGGGCACAAATTAAGGGAAGGCCAGTCCAACACTTTTGATTAGATTCTTTTCTAAAGAAACTACACATTTTTTCTCATGGAAATACTTTGGGCTAGGTGGCAAGAGGAACTGCAAAATTGAACTTTTCAAAATCACTGCTGGCCCCCGAATACTGAGAGTACCAATAGACATCCACAGTCTTGTTTAAAAAAACAAGCATCACAGGTTTAAGCTCTTCAAAATTAATTGTTCAATAAAACTTACCAGTACAAAGAGTTTTTTGTATCCAACCTTGAGGAAGCCAATGATAATTCCTTTTCCAGCCCTGGGAGGGATGAAAGGAGAGAAAAATATAACACATTAGTAAGGGTGCATGAGAAGTGACTCAATGAGTCAGTTGATCTAAACTACTTCACTGAAAATATATTAGCAAATCTGATTGTTTTAGAAAAATGATGATTGTTTTAGAAAAATGCATAAAATTACTGGTGAGGAGAACTGAGACAAGGGAGGGGCTCAAGACAAACAGATTACAAACTAAAGCTGGAGCAGGCAATTTGTGGCTCTCCAAGGGTTGTTTGGACTGGAACTCCCATAAGATTTAGGCTGCTTGGTTGGTATTAGAGGAGTTCCAATACAGCAACACTGAAGTTGCCCATTGTTGAACAGAAGGTCGCTGTTATGTGACTTCCAAGTTGCTCCTGACTTATGACAATATTAAACTATCACTGGGTTTTCCTGACATGAATTGTTCAGTGAAGGTTATTTTCCTTCAAGGTTGAAAAAGTGTGACTAGCCAAAGGTTATCCAGTAGGTTTCCATAGCTGAGTGGGGATATGGATACTAGACTCCCAAATTCCTAGTCCAATACCCAAACCCTACACCATATGCTGGCTCTGAAGGTTAGGCAAGCAGAATTACATCAAAACAATTTCTTTTTCACCAGAGTGGAGACCACTATCTCTTTTTAATCATGAGGGCATACGTTCATATGCCTTCTCAATCCCAATTGAGTTTGGGATGTCATGCTAAAAATGAAAAAAAAAATAACTGAAAGAGTAAAGAACTTAGAGATACCATATATACTTGAGTATAAGCTGAGTTTTTCTGCCCTTTTTTAGGCTGAAAAAGCCTCCCATGGCTTATACTCAAGGTTATTTATTATTTTACATTATTATTATTATTATTATTACATTTATTATTTTACTCTATTATTTTATTAATTTTACATTATTTTACTGTATTATTATTTTATTACATTTATTATTTACTCTATTTATTATTATTACATTTATTATTTTACTCTCTTGATTATGATTGGAAGGATACATAAGCACATTTACACTGAAGAAGGTTAGAATACTGGTTTAATCAGAGTTGGTCTTACCTTAAATTACAGTTTTATGTAAATATTCAAAAACATTTAACCTACAGATGCTTCAATTAATGTAATTTTATTGGTATCTATTTTTATTTTGAAATTTACCAGTAGCTGCTGCATTTCCTCAATACGTTTTCCCAGTTTTTTGTGGCAAAATTAGATGCCTTGGCTTATATTCGGGTCAGCTTATACTTGAATATATATATAACATATACAGTTCTAAATTGTATATAGCATTGTAGCTGATTATTAGTTATGAACATAAAATTGCCAGTCTTTTCTCTCCCTCATTCTTACATGTTCATATTCTGAGAGATACTTTATTATAGTCATTGTTATAGTGTAGACTATTTTAGATAAACAGTTATGAATAATAAACTGAATACATATTGTCATATTGGATATCGGATACATTGTTTGTTGGTTACGTTTGCTTCTGTAAAATACTTAAAATGAAACAGAGTAGGTCAGTATTATTAATACCATGTCCACACCAGAATTGTGAGAACTCTGGTTTAATATTGCGAAGCCAACATAGCATAGTGATTTGAGCATTGGACTACAACTCTGGAGATTAGTTTCGAATCTCTGTTTGGCCACGAAACAGACTGGGTAACCTTGGGTAAATCACACACCCTCTCAGCCTCAGAAAAAATATCATAGGGTTGCCATAAGTCAGAAATTATTTGAAGGAACATAACAATGTATAATGGCAAAAGTTTTCCTCCTTAGAAGCCCTTTTTTCTGTTGGTGAAAGGAGCCAAGCTAGAATTATTGGTTTGCAAGCTTCAAATCTTTGAAATCTATATTTCAAAGATTTTTCCTATCTTTTAAGAGGTGCCCAGAAAAACACTGTGGTCAACCAGGCTGTCTAGGAGTACATTTACATTGTAGACATCAGCACTCTTTCACAAAGACAAGTCCACAACTCCCACGATTCCATAGCATTGTGATATGAAAGTTTAAGTGATGTCAAACTGCATTAATTCTACAATGTAGATGCACCCTAGATCTCCTCTGTCTATGTTATAACACCAGGGCTTTAAAGCAAGCAGCCCCGCATTTCTGCTGCCTGCAAAATTTTGGGAAATGTATTCTGGTAAGGTTAGGACCTTGAGGGAGCTGGGGGTGGTAACGGCCGACAGGGAGCTCTGGCGTGGGCTGGTCCATGAGGTCACGAAGAGTCGGAGACGACTGAACGAATGAACAACAACAACAAGGTTAGGACCTCTCTAGCTGAGAATTCAAAAGGCCCTGCCCTAAACTACATTTCCCAGAATTCTGCAGGCGGCAGAAATGTGAGGCTGCCCACTTTAAAGCTCTGGTGTGATAACATCAATAGTGTGATCTAGAACAGGAAAGCTCTTCCCAACTGCATGTCATGATGCTCCCTACAGAAAGAATTTAAGCTGCAATCCTATACAGGCAGTCCCCGGGTTACAAACATCCAACTTCCAAATGACTATAATTAAGAACAAGACAACAGGAAGCAAGAGAAATCTACTCCTCAGAAGGGAAATCCACTCCTGGAAGAGTTCTCATGGGGAAAAGGTGTCTCCACTGGTGTTTTCTCACCAATCATTGTTTCTACAACAAGCCACACTTTCCAAAATCCAGTTATCACAGGGACAGAAAGTGAGGTGACATCTTCTGAATAGGGCCACAGATAGCAAAACAAATAACATAGTGGTGTTAACCCTTCCCTGTGCCATCCAAAGCTCTTATATGGGCTGGAGTTACACTTAAAAAATGTACCTGTTCCGACTTACAAACAAATTCAACTTAAGAACAAACTTACATAAGTTATATCTGGATCTAAATCTGTCAATTTCTTAAAAGGGCTCCTTCAATGCATCTACACATTGTAGAATTAAAGCACTTCGATACCACTTTTTAAATGCTTGTTTGTAACTTGCATGTACATCATTTTCTAAATGTGAATATGACCTAAATAGGGATGCACAGGGCTCTACCAAAAAGGGCCCAATCTCTCTTGCACTCACACTCACGTTTTGGCTTCACTGTCCTTCAGGATGTAGAGAACATGGCGGTTGGTTTGCATTCGGGAGGTGCTGGTGATTGGAGTTGCCAGATTCTGGGCCTGAAATAATAATAATAATAATAATAATAATAATAATAATAATCTTTATTTATACCCCGCCACCATCTCCCCAAGGAGACTCAGGACAGCTTACATGAGGCCAAGCCCAACAACACATCAGTAAAACAACAAAGAAGTAAGCAAATAAAGCAATACAATTAATATAACTCACATATAAGCAGTAACACACAAAAATTTAAAACCTTATGGCCAGGCCAGATATAATAGATTAAAATTTAAAATAAATACTGAACGTGAACAGAGATATGATGTATCTAAGCAGTAGGGTTTGAAAAGATAATGTAGGGAGAGCAACCCAACGGGTAGTTAAAGTGCTTCTGAGGACATTTTGCAGGGAATTGGTCAGAGCAGGGCATTGTTTCATTTATTCAGGGAAGATCTCACTTTCAGACAACCCAATGATGGAAAAAGAGAAACTTACGATGTAGAATTAATGCAGCTTGACCCCATTTTAGCTGCTATGTGTCAATGCAATGGAATCCTCGGATTGCAGTTTGGTGGGGCACCAACTCTCTTTGGTGGAGAAGATCACAGAGCTCCTAAAACTAGGAGTCCTATGATTCCACAGGTTTTAGCCATGGCAGTGAAACTGGGGTCAAACTGCATTAATTCTACAGTGTGGAGCTATACCCCTGGAAGGGTAATTGGGCAAACTGATACTTGAACAGGACCTTACATTACTTAAAATTCCATCACTTTTTTGCCCCATCTGGAGAAAAAGCCTCACTATACTCAACTCCCAGGCCAAACATAGTCTATCCGATTCATGGCACCCTGCTATAGGTTTAAAGAGACCTATATTTCTTCAGGCTGTCTAGGACCTTAAACATAAGGAAGTGTGAAGCACCTGGTAAGTAGAATGCAATTTTGTAGGGCACAAACAGACTAGAGCAGTGTTTCTCAGCCTGGGGGTCGGGATCCCTGGGAAGGGTCACGAGGGGGTTTCAGAGGGGTCGCCAAAGACCATGGAAATAGACAGTGAATCCTTCGACCAAAAGCTCTCCACCGCTGTGATTGGCCAGCATCTCAGCCAAGAGGAGGAATGTTTCTGAGACTCCAAGCAGGGAGGGGAAAGCAGATGTGCTCAGTGGATGGCAGCGTGGTGCCCATGCACAAGCGAGGGAGAGCATGCAAGATTGGAGGGAGCCTGATCCCAGCGAGTCCCTTCATGGTGTAGGAAGTTTGGCTCAATTCTATTGTTGGTGGGGTTCAGAATGCTCTTTGATTGTAGCTGAACTATAAATCCCAACAACTACAGCTCCCAAATGTCAAGGTCTATTTTCCCCAAATTTCACCACTGTTCACATTTGGGCGTATTAAGTATTCGTGCCAAGACTTTTTCAGAAAAAGAAAACTGGTTTCTCTTATTATTCTAAAGCTTAGATCTCCAGACTGTCCCCCATTTACAAAGATGCATCACTATATTTACAAAGATGCATCACCAGATATAAACACTGACTTACCTTGGCAGAGGCTTTGCCCATCTCATCTATAACTGTCATCAGCTGCTGCTGCAGGTCCATCCTGCCAACAAAGTAAACCAAATGGTTAAGAGCTGGAAGTAGACACTAGAAAAGTACCACAGAAGTTGTTTGAATTTCCAGAGAAGGAAAAACTTCGGCACAACGGAAGCATCATAAAATATATATATTACGAATATTTTTTAAAGGCAAAAATACACATGCTTTCCAAGTATCAATACCATTTCACCAGAGTTTAGTGTTCTAATGAATATATGCTAAATGTGCTCAAATGATCCCCAATTGAGCAGCAGTAGAAACATACAGCAGCATCCTATAAATATTTAGCCAAGGATAGCATCAGAATGCTATTATACGAGGGACTGCTGATAAGTCTTTGGCTTTACACAGAAAGAAACAAGATAGGAAGATGAAACTTTGCATTTATTCCATACTCTTTCATGTGATGTAACATTTATTACTATAGAAACAAAACAAGAACACAAAACCAAAGACTTATTAGCAGCCCCTTGTATTTATAGGCAGCCCCCAAGTTATGAACAAGATAGTTTCTGTAGGTTTGTTCTTAAGCTAAATTTGTACATAAGTCAAAACAGGTACATTTTTAAGTGTAACTCCATCCAAAGATAGACAGATAGATAGACAGCAAGCACAGAGAAGGATTAACATCTCCGTGGTGTTTCTTTTGCAGTCTGTGTTCCTGTTCAGGGGATTTTACCTCACTTTCTGTCCCCACTGTCAAAATTGGATTTTAAAATTTTTAGCTTGCTGTGGAAACAAGGACTGGCGATAAAGCTTCAGTTGAGACCACTTTTCCCTATGATAACTCTTGCAGCGGTGGATTTCCCTTCCAAGGAGATTTCTCTAAGCCAGTGCTGCCAACACTAACTGGGCAGCCCTGGCTCTCTGGGGATTTCATGCATGATTCTTTCATAAGGGGTCGACTGTAGTCGTAAACTCTGGATGTATCTACACTGTATAATTTCTGCAGTTAGACACCACTTCGGCTACCATGACTCAATGCTATGGAATCCTGGAAGTTGTAGTTTTACAAGGTCTCTAGCCTTCTCTGCCAAAGACAGTTAGTGCTTCACCAAACTAATACTCCCAGCATTAAAACATATTCAAAGTTAAAAAGCACAGTCTAAGCACTGCTGTATGTCTACAGCAGAATACTCTATGGCAGTAATGGTGTCATCAGGAAACAAAACTAAAAATGTTTTGCTGCAGATTTTCTGTCCAACGCTTCCCGGATGACAGTCCAATGATAGTCCCCCAACATGGATGAATTCCACTTGTCCTAATACTGTTTTTCCATCTTGGCAATGTCTCAATTAAACTTTTCACCATGTTCGTCACTCACAGCACCCAGATTGTCGGGAAAGAAGTCCAAGTAGGAATGAAGAAAATGTTTCTTCGGTGATTTGTATGCCTGAAGCAGACTTTCAACCTGTTGGATATAATCTGGAGATTTATAGCTGTCTAGAAAATTACAAACATTTTTAAGGCTATCCACAAAACATGTTCTGCATCCTGTAGAAGGCCATTAAAGTGGCTATCTTTCATCACATTCAGATTTGAGAGCCAATGAAAACACCTTCTTTTATCTTTGCATCACTTATGTGGGGTAAACATCTGCTGTAAATAAATTAAGTCTTCACTTTGCTTGTTCATTGCCTTAACAAACATTTTCATTAGCCTGAGTTTGACATGTAAAGGTGAAAGAAATTCCATATCTTATTTCAATCAAGTGGGTCATGTACAACATTCTTCTGTCCTGGAACCAATTTACTACGGGGAGGCCAGTCTTTTCTGATATAATGCTTGACTATCCAACTCGCAAAGGAAACAGCAAGTATAACCAACCTACAGACCTAGTAAAATTACAACTACCTTAAGATAACCACCAAAATTCCAGTTTTGCTTCAAGTATTGAAGGCGGTTCAGCAGAAGTTGCATGTTCTCATCTGATTCTTTCATATGAACAGCATGTCTGACTGCAGGGGCGGCTCAACCCATTATGCAAAGTAAGCATTTGCAGTATAGTTGATTTTGCCAGGGGTGCTCTTGAGGCACTCTTGGGGGAAAATGGACCTTGACATATGCGAGTTGTAGTTACTGGGATGTATAGTTCATCTACAATCAAAGAGAATTCTGAACTCCACCAATGATGGGATTGAACCAAATATGGCACACAGAACTCCCACGACGGGCCACCTCTGTCTGACAGGTATAGAAGGTTAAATATTGCCATTATGCAGAAAAACAGCCTTTAAACGTAAGAACCTGTCAGGAGTACTTTGATTGTGCTTTTCCTTCATGGCAGGTGGTTAGACTAGATGATCCATGTGGTTTCTTCCAGATCTATGATTCTGATTGAGGCGTCAATAAATAATCACCTTTTGTATCTGAGAGCACAAAACAATCAATTGAGGCCACAGCAAAAGGTCACACTGGCTAAAATATTTTGTCAAATCTTCATTACAGTAGAGAAATGTTGAAATTTTCATACTGGATGACAAAAGATACCATCCTTGCAGCCTTGATCCAAGCAGCTCTGCCCGACTCTTCAATAAACTCAGATCTCTGACCAAATCTTTCAGTTTTGCCTGAGATATTAAATGAGGATCACTGGATTTTGAGGGCACAAAGTCAGGATCAGCATCAGCTTCCATCAGCATCTGATTGCCATCATGCCCTACCTTCTCATCCTCTACTGTCCATGCCTCTGGCATGCCCAAGCAAGTGTCTACATGATCAGAAATGTATTCTTGTGGGATTTTGACAGACTGAGTTTCTGTTGCGTTACATAATGTTGGTTATGGCTGTCAAAGATATGAGCAATCTAAAAAATCATGCAAATTACTGCCAAGAAAGAAAATGTTTCATAAATTCACAATAATTGTAAAAAAAACCTGGTCGTTTCTCAGAAACTTTAATGGAGTGATAATTTAGAAGCTATTTATGTGATCAACATCAAAAAATCTATTTGGTACACTCAAAATTCTAAAGGAAACAAAATAGTGTACATACTTGAGTATAAGCCTAGTTTTTCAGCCATTTTTTTAGGCTGAAAAAGCTCCCCTCGGCTTATACCCATGCCACATGNCCAGCCTCTGTTTAAAAGCTTCCAAAGAAGGAGCCTCCACCACAGTCCTGGGCAGAGAGTTCCACTGCTGAATGGCTCTCACAGTCAGGAAGTTCTTCCAGGTGTTCAGGTGGAATCTCCTTTCCTGGAGTTTGAAGCCATTGTTCCTAGTCTCCAGGGCAGCAGAAAACAAGCTTGCTCCGTTCTCCCTATGACTTCCCCTCACATATTTATCATGTCTCCTCTCAGCCTTCTCTTCTGCAGACTAAACATTCCCAGCTCTTTAAGCCGCTCCTCATAGGGCTTGTTCTCCAGATCCTTTATCATTTTAGTCGCTCTCCTCTGGACACATTCCAGCTTGTCAACATCTCCCCTCAATTGTGGTGCCCAGAATTGGACACACTGTCAGGAAGTTCTTCCTCATGTTCAGATGGAGTCTTCTTTCTTGTAGTTTGAAGCCATTGTTCCGCGTCCTAGTCTCCAAGGAAGCAGAAAACAAGCTTGCTCCCTCCTCCCTGTGGCTTCCTCTCACATATTTATACATGGCTATCATATCTCCTCTCAGCCTTCTCTTCTTCAGGCTAAACATGCCCAGTTCCCTAAGCCGCTCCTCATAGGGCTTGTTCTCCAGACCCTTGATCATTTTAGTCGCCCTCCTCTGGACACATTCCAGCTTGTCAATATCTCTCTTGAATTGTGGTGCCCAGAATTGGACACAATATTCCAGATGTGGTCTAACCAAAGCAGAATAGAGGGGTAGCATTACTTCCTTAGATCTAGACACTATGCTCCTATTGATGCAGGCCAAAATCCCATTGGCTTTTTTTGCCGCCACATCACATTGTTGGCTCATGTTTAACTTGTTGTCCACAAGGACTCCAAAATCTTTTTCACACGCTCTGCTCTCGAGCCAGGCATTGTCCCCCATTCTGTATCTTTGCATTTCATTTTTTCTGCCAAACTGACTCAGATTTGTAGATTGTTTGTATGTTGTGTTTCCTCATCAGCTTCCCTATGAGAGTAAAGATGAAGATCCACCCAGAGGAAAAGTGTTCCTGCCATACATCAAGGGAACCACTGACCGCATTCACACGTACTGCTCTCGAGCCAGGCGTCCCCCCTTCTGTATCTTTGCATTTCATTTTTTCTGCCAAAGTGGAGTATCTTGCATTTGTCACTGTTGAACTTCATTTTGTTAGTTTTGGCCCATCTCTCTAATCTGTCAAGATCGTTTGAATTCTGCTCCTGTCCTCTGGACTATTGGCTATCCCTCCCAATTTGGTGTCGTCTGCAAACTTGATGATCATGCCTTCTAGCCCTTCATCTAAGTCATTAATAAAGATGTTGAACAGGACCGGGCCCAGGACGGAACCCTGCAGCACTCCACTTGTCACTTCTTTCCAAGATGAAGAGGAAGCATTAGTGAGCACTCTCTGTGTTCGTCCACTTAACCAATTACAGATCCACCTCACCGTAGTTTTGCCTAGCCCACATTTGACTAGTTTCCTTGCCAGAAGGTCATGGGGGACCTTGTCGAAGGCCTTACTGAAATCCAGGTACGCTACATCCACGGCATTCCCCGCATCTACCCAGCTTGTAGCTCTATCGAAGAAAGAGATCAGATTAGTCTGGCATGACTTGTTTTTGATAAATCCATGTTGACTATTAGCGATGACTGCATTTGTTTCTAAGTGTTTGCAGACCGCTTCCTTAACAATCTTTTCCAGAATCTTGCCCGGTATCGACGTGAGGCTGACCGGACGGTAGTTGTTTGGGTCATCCTTTTTTCCCTTCTTGAAGATTGGGACCACATTGGCCCTCCTCCAATCTGCTGGAACTTTTCCCGTTCTCCAAGAACTCTCAAAGATGGTTGCCAATGGTTCCGAAATGACTTCTGCTAGTTCCTTCAATACTCTGGGGTGTAGTTGATCTGGCCCTGGGGACTTGAACTCATTTAGAGCGGCCAGGTATTCCTGGATGACTTCTTTCCCAATTTGGGGTTGGATGTCCTCCAATCCCTCATCCACTCCATCTTGCTGAGGTTGAAGACTCTCTTTTTGTGAGAAGACCGAGGCAAAGAAGGCATTAAGTAGTTCTGCCTTTTCCCTATCCCCTGTCAGCATTGCCCCATCTTCTCCGCGAAGAGGTCCTATCACCTCCTTGTTTTTCCTTTTTCTACTGACATAAGAATAGAAGCCCTTTTTATTGTTTTTAATGTCCCTGGCAAGTCTGAGCTCGTTTTTTGCTTTAGCCTTGCGGACCTTTTCCCTACAGGTGTTGGCTATTTGTTTGAATTCTTCTTTGGTGATTTCTCCCTTTTTCCACTTCTTGTGCATGTCTCTTTTGTGTCTTAGCACAGTTAGAAGTTCTTTGGACATCCATTCTGGCTTCTTTGCACTTGTCCTATTTTTTCTCTTTGTTGGCACGGTTTGCAATTGCGCCTTGAGTATTTCACTCTTGAGAAATTCCCATCCATCCGTAACTCCCTTGTCTTTTAGTATCTGTGTCCACGGAATGCTGCTCAGTGTTTCCTTCATTTTTTGGAAATAAGCTCTCCTAAAGTCCAAGATGCGGGTTTGACTTGTCTTAGTTTCGGCCTTCCTTTGTACCTCAAATTGCAGGAGCACATGGTCACTTGCCCCTAAGGATCCTACCACTTCGACCGCATCGATCAGGTCCTCCGCATTTGTTAGGATGAGATCAAGAGTAGCCAATCCCCTTGTTGCCTCTTCTACCTTCTGGACCATGAAATTGTCTGCAAGGCAAGCGAGGAATTTGTTGGACCTTGTACTCTTGGCCGAGTTTGTTTTCCAGCAAATATCGGGATAGTTGAAATCGCCCATGACTACTACATCTCTTTTCTGTGCCTGTTTGGTCAACTGTTGGCAGAAGACTTCATCAAGTTCTTCCTCCTGGCTTGGGGGTCTGTAGTAGACGCCTACAACGACATCTTTTTGAGTCCCAGTTCCCTTGATTCTTATCCAGATGATTTCAAGCTGGTTTCCCAGATTGCTGTCTTGAATCTCTTCTGCAGCATAAGAGTTTTTGACATATAAGGCTACTCCGCCTCCTCTCCCCTTTGTTCGGTTTCTGTGAAAGAGGTTATACCCCTCGATATCTACATTCCAGCGATAGGAGTCATCCCACCAGGTTTCAGTGATCCCTATGATATCATATTTGTGGTGTTGTGCTAAAAGTTGGAGTTCGTCTTGTTTATTTCCCATGCTCTGTGCATTAGTGTAAAGACATGTGAGCCCCTGGGATCTTCCCTTGAGCTGTTTAATTGGGATTATTGTGCTTTTGGTACTTGGTCCTTGTGTTTGTGCAGCCCTCCGTTTAGCCTTCTGGCGATTCCCAGACATTATGGGTAAAGTAGTGTTCGCAAGGCTGTTGTCCCCCTCCCCCGGTGGACCTAGTTTAAAGTGCGTCTAATGAGGTTTGCGAGTCTGTGAGCAAAAAGGTGTTTTCCTACTTGTGTGAGATGCACCCCATCCCTTGCCAGTAGGCCATCCCGGTAGGCAGCATATTTCTCGAGCCATCCCATCTGGTCTGGAAATGACAGCTTCCGTTCCTCTAAGGAGGGAGTCGCCTACTACCAAGACCTGTTTACTTTCTCCTTCTCTCATGCAGCGTCCACCTTCCTCTCTTCTCTCAGTGCCAGTCTTTTCCACTTTTCCTTATTCATATACGAAGCATTTCCCCCATAATGTATAGTTAAAATAAAGTAAGGTGATTACGGGAAGGATTTACATTTACATTGAAGGTTAGAATAATTATTTAATCAGAGTTGGACAGTCTTATCTTAAATTACAGTTTTATGTAAATATTCAAAACTATTTAACCTACTGATGCCACAATTAATATAATTTTATTGGTATTTGTTTTTATTTTGAAATTTACCAGTAGCTGCTGCATTTCCCGCCCTTGACTTATACTTGAGTCAATATGTTTTCCCAGTTTTTTGTGGTAAAATTAGGTGCCTTGGTTTATATTCAGGTCGATGAGTATATACAGTACCCATTTTCCAGTGTAAGAGGCTTCTTTTTGTTGTGTCAGAATCAACTTGAGAAAGTTGCTTCTTGTATGAGAGAATTGTCAGTTCACAAGGACATTTCCATGCCTGGGTTAACTTATTTCGCCACTGTGCCTCCTAGTGTGAGAGGCTGAAAGAGGCTCATTTAGGACAAAAGGAACAATTCCTACTCTGGGTTGCTGTGAGTTTTGTGGATTGTATGGCCATGTTCCGGAAGCATTCTCTCCAGACGTTTCACCCACAACTATGGCAGGCATCCTCAGAGGTTGAGAGGTCTACTGGGAACTAGGCAAGTGAGGTTTATATATCTGCGGAATGTCCAGGGTGGGAGAAAGAACTCTTGCCTGCTTGAGGCAAGTGTGAATGTTGCAACTGCCCACCTTGATTAGCATTGAAGGTGATAGTATGAGAGCTGAGTCCAGAAGCTCCGAGCGTTACAGGTGGCTGTGAATAAGGGAAGAGAGGGGGTGGAGTGCGAGCGAAGGAAGGATAGAAAGGAGGGGTTAGGCATATTTTGGGTTTGGGTTAGGGTAAAGGAGCCCCCGGTGGCGCAGTGGGTTAAAGTGCTGAGCTTGCGACTGAAAGGTCGCAGGTTCAATTCCAGAGAGTGGTGTGAGCTTCCACTGTTAGACCCAGCTTCTGCCAACTTAGCAGATTGAAAACATGAAAATGTGAGATCAATAGTACTGCTCCAGCAGGAAGGTAACGGTGCTCCATGCAGTAATGCCGGCCACATGACCTTGGAGGTGTCTACAGGCAACGCCAGCTCTTTAGCTTAGAAATGGAGATGAGTACCACACCCCAGAGTCGGACACGACTGGACTTAATGTCAGGGGGAAACCTTTACCTACCTTTATCTAGGGCAGTGGTTCCCAAATTTATTTGACCTACCCCCTGGAAATCAATTTTTCTAAATATTCTCTTCTTTTATGCTTTCACTGCCCCCTTACAGTTAGTTATTCATCGCCCCCAAATGCACCTGTGGCCATTACCGCCCCCCCTCCCGGATCGCTGCAGCACCCACCAGGGGGCGGTAGCACTCACTTTGGGAATCACTGATCTAGGGTAAGGGTTAGGGGTTACTGTTAGGGTACGATTTGGAGTTAGGGTAAGGGTTAGTGTAAAGTTTAGGGTTTGGGTTACCATAAGGGTTTGGGGTTTGGATAAGGGGTTAGGCTTAGGCTTATGGTATGGTTCAGGGTAGGGGTTAGGGTTTCACCATTAAAGAACTCTTACATTCCTTCTACAGGGCGAGGCAGCATAACTTCCTTTTTTCAAAACTTAATAAAACCCATTGTGTGAATCAGATTTTTTAATAATGTAGCCGCATACCTAAAGTTTTGTTTTACGTAGTTTTGAAGATCAAATTAGGTAGGTGACGTCCCCCATTCTCCATACACGAGTAAACCGATTTCTGGCGTTTGTCATGACTCTTGCCAGCATAGCAGGCATTATGTTAGTAATTTCTTCCTGGATGTTGGTCTTCAAATCTTGTAGGGTCCTTGGACGGTTCACATAAACACGGGATTTCAAAAAACCCCATAGAAAAAAATCACAAGGGGCCAAATCTGGAGAGCGGGCCGGCCACTCCAAATCCGCTTGAAAAGTAGGCCTCAACGGCAAAAGCACGTTCCTCACTGTTCCAATGCAGGATGGCGACTGAACTGTCAGGACAAAACTTTATACTCCCGCCTCTTGAACGAGACCACTACGTCATCAACCAACTGAATGGCACACATTTTAAAAAAGAAAGTTATGCTGCCTCACCCTGTATATTATCTGTCTCCGGCCTGGCTTACGTTAACCTGGCTTACATTAGCTAAATCTCTCTTGTGCAAACTGTGCTCCCGAAGGATGCGGCATCTCCATAATGCTCGGAGATTCCAGACCCAGCTATCATACTATTAGTGCACTGAATAGTCACTGTAATTATGACTGTACTTTGCTATTTTAATGTTTTAGTGTAATTTGGATTATGATGTTTTAATGATTGTTTCTAATATTGTTGTTGGAAACCGGCCTGAGTCCCTCGATGGAGGTGAGAAGACCGGTACACAAAACTGCTAAATAAATAATAATAATAAATAGCCTTGCAGCTTCAAAGCCTGGCTGCTTCCTGCCTGGGGGAATCCTTTGTTGGGAGGTGTTAGCTGGCCCTGATTGTTTCCTGTCTGGAATTCCTTACTCTCTGAGGGCGGGGCTCTTAACCAACTCTTTATTTATAGCCCCCGCCCACTTCCCGTCATGCCTTGGGGCAACCAATGGCCAAAAAGAAACGACCGTTACCCAGCACGCTTTGCGCGCCCTCTCTTAGGGACAATGGGGACAATAGATGGGCGTGTCACCACCACTGAGGACAATGGCCCGGCTGGGGCAGTGGCGCGAGTCCCCTGGAGGGAAAGGGTTCGATTTCCCGGCGTGCTCCGGGACAATGGGCAAGGGGCTCATTTGCCTGCCTCGCTTTGATTTGGAGGAGCGCTGTCAATCAAAGGCGAAGAGGGAGGCGGCCCCTCCGTTGCCATGGTTACCTGTGGGTGGTGGACAGGCCGGCTCCCCTTCGCCCCGAGGGCAGCAAGCGCTGGTCCACCGTCGTGATCCGCTCCCCGAAGAGGACGTCCACGTCGAAAGGGAACTCCATGTTCCCGGCATCCGGGTCCTTTTCTTTCCCTCTCTTCTTCCGCCTATCAGCGCAAGAGGAGAGCCTGGCAGCCTTCTAGGCTGACTGTACGGCAGCGGCGACCATGACGATGACGCAATACGCACGGCCACGCCCTTAGCAACGCGGCCTGCTCTCGGCGCTGGCCTTTTGTGCCTTGGCAACGAGCACTGTTACAGCCCACTTTACAATAGGGTGGGAACTGTGAGAGTTGTGGGTTATCCCCAAAGTTCCCTGGCCTTGAATTCCTTAGCAATTAAAGTGGAATGTAGCACCACAACAAGGGGTGTGTGTGTGTGCTAGCACACTAGAGAATCAAAGCAGATTGTCACTGCCTCCACGTTTTCTCCCTCTATTTGCCAGTTCTCAATCAGTCTGGTTGCCAGAATCTTGTTTTTTTTTAATGTTTAACTGCAACCCAGCTTTTGCACTTTCTTCTTTCACCTTGGTTAGAATGCTCCTCAGCTCCTCCTCGCTTTCAGCCATCAAAGTGGTATTGTCTGCATATCTAAGGTTGTTAATGTTTCTTACAGCAATTTTAACTCCAGCCTTGAATTCTCTACCTGTGTGTCCCCAGATTTTTTGGCCTTCAACTCCTAGAAATCCTAACGGCTAGTAAACTAGCTGGGATTTCTTGGAGTTGTAGGCCAAAACACCTGGGGACCGAAAAGTTGAGATCCACTGAGCTAGACTTTCTGGAACATCATCAGGATGCTATGGAGGAGAATTGGGAAATCAATTTTTCATATCCATAGCAAATGAATTCATAGTATTTGAATTCATTTGTTCTTAACGGATGCCAACAAAGGGAAAGAGTTGAAGATGTGTCTTAAGATTTTGTATCTGTAGAAGAGAGTCACAATTTCTTCTGAAAGAGACGCGTTTGAAAAGTGTAATAAACAGGATGGTCCTAAAAAATATAGTGCGCACAATTATAAGCTCTATAAACATGACTGGCTACTGAAGAGTAATGGAATATTATTCTTAATTACATGATGCTTCAGTATTTATTCCCTCCTCTGGCATCATATTATTTGATGTGACAGGAAATGTAATGAGCAAGTTAATTTGCCAGGTTATTCACAAATTCATAAAGTTGCTAGTTTGGTTTAGTTTCCTTATTCTTAACTATTTCTAACATGTTCTCGCAGCGTGTTGTTGAAGGTTTTCATGGCTGGAATCACTGGGTTGCTGTGAGTTTTCCATGCCTTATGGTCATGTTCTAAAAGCATTATCTCCTGACATTTCGCCCACATCTATGGCAGGCATCCACAGAGGTTGTGAGGTTTGGTGCAAACAAGGTAAGGGAGATTGATATATCTGTGGAATGTCCTGGGTGGAAGAAAGAACTCTTGTCTATTTGAGACAAGTGTGAATGTTCCAGTAATTTGCCACCTTAATTAGCATTGAATAGCCTTGCAGCTTCAAACAAAGGATTCCCCCAGGCAGGAAGCAGTCAAACCTTAAAGCTAAAAGGCTATTCAATGCTAATCAAGGTGATTAGTTGCAGCATTCACACTTGCCTCAAACAGACAAACAGACAGACATTCACACTTGCCTCAAACAGACTTGCCTCAAACGTTCTCCCACCCTGGACATTCCACAGATATATAAACTCCACTAGTTTCCAAGAGACCTCACAACCCCTGAGGATGCCTGCCATATATGTGGGTGAAATGTCAGGAGAAAATGCTTCTGGAACATGGCCATACAGCCTGGAAAACTCACAGCAACCCACTGTTCTCACAGAATTGAAAGTAATTATCCAATGTAGCTGTAAACCATTTCTTTTAAAATTATATTATTTAAACTGCTTATATAAATGTATTTGTATATTACTGCTTTATAATTTTAATGCACACTGTATTTGGTATGATTTTATGTCTTAATGCGGCATTGAATTATTGCCAATTTGGAAGCTGCTCTGAGTCCCCTTCAGGGTTGAGAGCAGGGCAAAAATACAGTAAATAAATAAGTAAATGATTCACAAAAATGTATCGGCTAAACACAATCTCCTAGTATTATTGATTTTCAGCAAAATAAACATTTCAAGGCTTTTTCACACAGCCATATAGCCCAGAATATCAAGACAGAATAACCCACAATATCTGCTTTGAACTGGGTTACCTGAGTCTACACTGCCATATAACCCAGTTCAAAGCAGATAAGGTGGGATTTTATACAGTCTCAGTCTCTCCAGAACTTGGAAGTAACTTTTTTGAAACTCTGAAAGGAACCAGGCTGTATTCCACTAACACTTATAATGCAGTGGATCTTTGGTTGCATCTACACTGTAGAATTAATGTAGTTTGCCATCACTCTGACTGCCATGGCTCAATGCTATGGAGTCCTGGGAGTTGTAATTTGGTGAGGCACCATCACTCTTTAGAAGGGAAGGCTATGGAGTAGACCTTGTAAACTACAGCTTCTATAATTCATAGAATCATAGAATCAAAGAGTTGGAAGAGACCTCATGGGCCATCCAGTCCAACCCCTGCCAAGAAGCAGGAATATTGCATTCAAATCACCCCTGACAGATGGCCATCCAGCCTCTGTTTAAAAGCTTCCAAAGAAGGAGCCTCCACCACACTCTGGGGCAGAGAGTTCCACTGCTGAACGGCTCTCACAGTCAGGAAGTCCTTCCTAATGTTCAGATGGAATCTCCTCTCTTGTAGTTTGAAGCCATTGTTCCGCGTCCTGGTCTCCAGGGAAGCAGAAAACAAGCTTGCTCCCTCCTCCCTGTGGCTTCCTCTCACATATTTATACATGGCTATCATATCCCCTCTCAGCCTTCTCTTCTTCAGGCTAAACATGCCCAGCTCCTTAGCCTCATAGGGCTTGTTCTCCAGACCTTTTATCATTTTAGTCGCTCTCCACAACATTCAGCCCTGAACTGAATATGGCAAACTGCATTAATTCTTTAGTGTAGTAAGGCATGGGTAAACTTTTGCCCTCCAATGTGTTTTGGACTTCAACTCCCACAATTCCTAACAGCATCTACACCAGATATGGGCCAAAGTTTGCCCATGCCTGGTGTAGATGTATCCATCTTCTCAACAGAGGCTGGCTTGCTACACTTTGTCCATTTTAGACATTTATTCTTACAAGTTATCTGGCTACACTTTATCAGTGTTACTTGGAAATATGTTGCATTTACTGTGATTGAAGTTTGTACATAATCATCTGATACTATAGAATGTTACATCTTACTATTCTCTCTCAATGCTTGGCTCTTTGGCTTCAGTATTTCATAAAAGAATAATTCCCCAATATATTTGTTCATCATTAGTCCAGAATTGGGCCTTTTATTAATATATAGTGCACAGTAACGTAAATAAATATTACTGAGAGCTGCATGATTCAGTCGGTAGTGCAATAAAGGGTATACTATGACATCTAGCAAATATGGTAATTTATTGATCTGATCTTACTCTCTCCAAGTCACCTGTTTTCTGAAGGCTGTGCATTATGCGTTGAATTGCAGGAATTCACCAGGAAGCACAGTAGGAATGGAAGGGGCATGGAAATAGCAAGAAATTATGAGAGAAGTTACTTACAGCCCCATCACACTAGAGAATAGATCCACTTTAAATCCTGCAGAATTCTGGGGTTTGTAGTTTAATGAGGCATGGGACCTCTCTGTCTGAGCAGTGGAAAGGCCCCTCCCAAATCTACAAGCCCAGAATTTTGCAGGAGGCAGAAACTGGATGTAAAGTGAAACCATGCTCTAGTGTGATGAGGTCCTAACATAGGATGCCTTATAATTTTGTTTTGTTCTGCTGAAAACTTTAATATATCATGACTGGAAGTTGACAGGTACTCATCTCTTTATATAAAAGTCAAATTATGGCTATCTGTCCAACAAAGTCTGTTGCTAGGTAAAGTGGCCCTTTGTGATGTCACTGGATTAGCTGTTGCTAAGTGGATAGGTTGTTTCCATACGAAATGGCCCACGATGATGTCACTAGGAAAGAAAGCCACAAAGATAGGCATGTTGCCATGGTGTCTCTTTCGAGGTGAGAAGGACGGTATACAAATGAAGTAAGTAAGTAAGTAAATAAATTGTGATGTTGTGAGGTAGTGCTGGAGAAAGAAAAAAGGGGAGGGAAGAAAAGAAGGAAAGGAAAGGAGAGGAAAGGAAGGCGGGAATAAATAAAAAGGAGGCAAGGAGAGAAGAGAAAGGAAAGGTCAAAAGGAATGAAGGGAAAGAGAAAAAAGGAAGAAAGCAAGAGCCCTTTCCAACAATGAAGTGCAAAAAACTAAAATCACTTATTGAGTCTGCCACTTTATTGATGCAGAAAGCACAAGAGATAAGACAACAGAAGGCAGATACCATTACCACTGAATTGCCCTTTAGGGTTTTTTTTTTAGCTGTGAACTTCATATCCCCGAAGAAGTGTTTATTCGTGTCCATTATCATCTGAGAGATTCAAGGTGGGCCACTCTCCTCCTTTAGATAGTCCTTGTAAATTTTCCTGATTCGTTTCATTTCTTTTTCTGGAGGCTGCTGCCATTCATACCACTCATACCAGGCAGTTTTGTTCTGAAGAGCTGGAGATGGGGCAGTCTTAGTGACAGCTGGATGTTGGTTGCTGAAATCTTCATGCTGGAAGTCCTTAAATGGGATGGAGAAGAATAGAAGGCCTAAAGTGGAAGAAGAGATAATGTATTAGAAAGAAAACAGCTTTCCTAATGTTGTCAAAGGCTTTCAAGACCTCACAACCTCTGAGGATGCCTGCCATAGATGTGGGTGAAACGTCAGGAGAAAATGCTTCTGGAACATGGCCATACAGCCCAGAAAACTCACAGCAACCCAGCTCTCCTAGTATTTTAAGAGAGGGAAGATCGCCCCTTATCTTTAGAACAATGAAGGAAGGCAAAGGTGGTGTGTAAGTGTGAAGAAAGAGAAGGAACCCTGCCATCCCCTCCAGGCGCTTAATGCCTGCCCTTCTCCTCAAACGCACCCTCTTGACTGAATGAAACCAGGATTTCTTATTATTTTAAGGATTACACCTTAATCTTCCTACAGAGTTTGGCTCACATTGGGATGGGCTCTCTATAGCCACAAATTCAACCATCTAGTGTTTGAATATCTACATCTCAAACATTGACTTTGCCATTTTACATAAGGGACATAGTTTTACTATATTATTGTATATCATGATAGTTGAGCACCCATGGGTTTTGGTATCCACTGGTGGTCCTGGAATCAAACTCCAGCATATACTGAAGGCCATGGTATTGTTCTTCAGGAAGTCAATTTTTATGTCTTTGGAAGTTAGACCTATTCTAATTGTTACTGGCCCTCCAGATCCACTGATTTAACTATCTGTTATTTTTAAAAAGTTGGATTTTATATCCTTATATCCCTGAGTTACATAAAAATTTCCTGGGCAAACAGGGGTCACAAGTTGAAAAAGTTTAAGAAGCCCTGCCCTAAAGCAACAACTAATCAGAATGTCTATGTACATATGCACATGTGTGTATTTAGGCACATCTGTGTATCTCTTGGTTAAAAGAGCTGAAAAGCTTTTCCAGTCCAGTCCTACAGTCAGCATCTACTCCCAAACTGCTACACTATATTATCTACCATTTCCTGATTAAACTATTAAATTAGATTGTCTCTCTCCCAAGATGTCACCCTGCAGTTGAGGGCCCTTCCACACAGTCTTATATCCCATAATATAAAGGCAGAAAATCCCACAATATCTGCTTTGAACTGGGTTATCTGAGTCCCTGGGATATAGGGCTGTGTGGGAGGGCCCTTAGAAATGTTGTATTACAGATGGGAAATAAGACTGAGACTTATTTCATTTGTGTCATAAGACTGTGACACAAACTTAAAGTTAGCATGGGGCTGGAAACCTGCAGAGCCATAGCCAGGAATCCGGTAGATGCTGCCGGGGGGGGGGGGGGGGGGGGGGAGAAGAGGAGAGTCAGTCTCCCTTCCTGCTGCTCCTCCACCCCCCTCTCTCTCTGGCACTTTTGCTGCTGCTGCTCCTGCCTGGCTGCTTCCTCCGATATGTTGGAGCATGGAGAATCCTAAAAAGAAGGGCATTGCTGCAGAGTGAAGGCACAAAGTAAATCTAAAGTGTTCCTTACCTCTTTTTGTTTGTTTTTTCCCCTCATCTCCTAATGTGTTCCCCCCCCCCACCCATCCCTCCTTTCCTTCAGTTGCAAGTTTCCCCTTGAAAGAGGAGGAACCCTGGGGCGGCACTTCTTGGGGGGGCGGGGAGGGGGACTCACTCTTCTCCACACCCCGTAGTTTGAGGACCCCTGATGTAAAGGATAGTGACAGGGAAGCAGGCCTGCGGGGATGAGGGCTTTTCCTCCAGCTCCTGAAGGGAGGGCCTCCATGGGAGCCTGCTGGGCATGTGCACTCGCCGCTGCCATGCACGTGCACTCCTTCTTTCCCTCTCCTTCCCTGAGGCTTACAGTTGAACGTCTTTCTAAGGAGGGTGGAGGGAGGGAGGGAGGGGGAAGTGGTTTTTTTTGGGGGGGGGGTTGAGTGGAGAACATACATTGGGTTGTTAGATGTATCGTGTCCAAATTTGGGGCCTATTGCCCCAGTGGTTTTTGAGTTCTGTGAATAGCACAAACAAACATTACATTTTATTTATATAGATATCTTGACAGCAATATGCTAAAAAATTTCCTCCTTTTACAGAGTTCTGTGTGAATATGGGTTTTTGAGTCCATTTTGTCAGAAAATGCAATATTGCCAAAGTCACAAGATCCCTGATAGACATGAGTAATTGAGAACATGTATGAATTCAGTTACATTCTCTGCAAATCCATAGCTGGTACATTAAACTTAGGGACCTTCCACACAGCCCTGTAGCCCAGAATATCAAGGCAGAAAATCCCACGTTATCTGAGTTTGGACTCAGATAACCCAGTTCAAAGCAGATATTGTGGGATTTTCTGCCTTAATATTCTGGGATATAGGGCTGTGAGGAAGGGCCCTCAGAATGTTGGGCAGCCTTGTTCTTACACTCTACAGCTTTCATCCAAAAGAGCCCCAATCTCATGCTACTCACCATTTTCTCGAGACTGCTCAATGGCTTTGGTGAGTTGCTTGTACTTCTTCATGCAGACACCTGCAATAGAAAAAAAGAAATGTTTCAATGCACAGCAGAGTCTGTTACGGTATGTAAAATCACTTGTTCTCAATAGAAAAGATGAGTTTTAAAGTCCATGTTCCTGCAGGAAATCTAATCAACTTTCTCTTCACCACAGGACCATGTTTGAGGACTGAACAGTTTCCCAAATATACTTTCCATCATTTTCACTGAGTTTTCCCACTATGGGAAAAGCTTCCCATAGTGGGAAAACTATAAATGTAAATTGTTATAACAATAATCAATGTTGCTACAACATTTAAAATGATCTACATCTTAATCATTTCATATCCCTCCCATCAAAAAGTACTGTAAGACTTCTGCAAATCCTTCATTTCCTAGAAAGGCCAGAACCTCAGAAGATAAATGACATAAGGACAGGGAGTTAAACAGAACAGGAAAGGGTAATAGGAAGCTTACCTGTGTGTGTTGGATGATAGATGATACCTGTGTGGGGACAGACAAACTGTTCCAGGAGTTTCACATTCTGTGAGATGGAAAGGGAGACCAGATTTTTACATTTCACAAATCAAAGGAGGACTCATGAGACACACAATCAATGTCAGACCAGCCCATTGTATGCCTTCAACATGTCAGGAAATTACAAAATAAGAGTCCTCTTGGGGAGATAGGGTGTGCTACAAATAAAGCATTGTTGTTGTTGTTGTTGTTGTTGCTGCTGCTGCTGCTGCTGCTGCTGCTACTACTACTACTACTACTATGCAATAGTCACTACGTTTGGGACATCCTCCCTAGAGAATTTTACAATTTTTTCCTGAATAGCTCTTAAATTCCTAGCCAGATAGATATCTTCCAAAATACTTTAGTTTACCCTAATCACTTTTTCTTTTCCTCATCTCCCTGCTGTTGCCCTGGACTAACAGAACAGCTTATTAATTTCAACACAGCATTCCCAAAATTCAGCTGCTTTCATACAGTCTTTAATGTGTTTCTTCTAGTTGCAAGAATTCAATACCTAAATAAGAAAATCTTGCTTGTCTTACCCTATAATCCAGAAAAAGGTTTTGGTCTCTGCAGATGGGACAGGGGTTCCCACACACATGGTTCCCTCTCTAAAGGAATAAAATATTGTTGAATGTCAGTTTCTCTGCTTAACATCATTAAACAAATACAAAACTTGTCATAAATGTATCAAAAGGCAGGAATTGCAGTTTTTTTTCCTTTACATAAACAACATCATCACTGTGTATAGAAGTCCCATTATTTTGATTTTCATCAGGCCAAGTCAAAACACAGATGTTTCCCTCTACTAATTTAAAGCAGACTAGAAATAGTACAAAATAAACAAAAAGTTACAAAGTCTGATTGCCAATGCTAGAACCATCAAATACTAATATAGCTTTCTGGGCTACACTTGCGTGTTCAAGTATAAAACACAGGAGAATCTTCAGCATTCTTCTCCATTGCCCCTCCCAGCTCTATTGTGTCTCACTTCTACATTTCCAAACCAACTTGAGGACAGATTGTCATGTTAAGTTTGATTTAGACGAAGAAAAATCATTATACCATCTTGACTTCTTGGGATGAGGCAAACTAAAGAAAATATTAACACTTCTTTCACTATCCCATAACTTCTGGCACTCACAATGCAAGTCTTCCGTGTCTTCTGTGGAGGAATTGGGCCCTTGTGATTACGTCTGTAGCCAAACCAGACAGGATTGCTGCCATATCGTTCTATGTATTCTAAATGGGCAAGAGAAAAAGAAGAGGGGCAGTCATGCATAGTAATAGTTTACCAGTGATATTCAAAACATAACACTGCCTTAATTCCAACTGTTCACTCAAAGCTAACTATCCACTTCATACACACATGCCAGATGTTGCAAATCACATGCTAATTTGACAAAAGCAAAGTTTAATCCAAGTCATGCTTGCATGGAAAAAGACAGACTAATCCCAACGGAATTTAGTCTTTAGTAGGTATGCCTAGCCTAAGTATCTCCAAAGGTGCAGATTCTACCTGATTTTGGAAGCTAAGCAAGGTCATGTTGGTTAGTACTTGGATGGGAAACAGCCAATGAATACCAGGCAATGTATGCTATATTTTGGAGGAATGAACTGGCAAAACCACCTTGCCTAAGAAAATCCTATGAAATCATGGTGTCACAGTAAATCGACATGTGACTTGAAGGCACAGACACACAAGTGCCCTGCTAGTTTACCAGTTGTTGGAAAAAGAGTCTGGATTTACTGTTAGATCTCTGGGTGCTTTGTGATCAATCAGCAAAGGAATTTATAATTTTTCCAAGAGCAAGAGCAAAGGACTGCTTACTCAATTTCAGCTGTTAGAATGAAGACAACTCAGGAGAACCCATGCAGACTTTTGTGAGGAAGTACTGCAAGTTCAGTCGAGTTGTAAGAATAAAAACAAAATCCTGTGTGAAATGAATATGCTTTAATTCTAAGTATATATCCTTTGCGTTTCTGTGTCTCCTGAACTTGGTGGGTGCTGGGGTTGGTTCTTTTAAAAGAACAACTGCGAGATGTAGTTGCTCTGTAAATCTGTCCACCCCTGGCTTATTCAGAGAGGATGGGGGATTTTTTTTTCAGGAGCAACTTGAGAAACCCAAAGTCATTTCTGGTGTGAGAGAATTGGCCATTTGAAAGGACGCTGCCCAGGGGACTCCCAGATATGTGATGTTTTAACATCCTTGTGGGAGGCTTCACACAAAAAATTGAATAACATTACAGCTTTTCTATTTAAAGGTCTTCGGGGCTTATACCTCCTCTTCCTCCTAATTCTTATCAGTTCCTGTCTGTAATCTTGTCTGCTTCAACCCCAACTGTCCCACTTTTCATATTTCCCTGCTATTCCTATGCCTTGAACTCTCATCCCAGTGCATATTTCCACCAAATCTATCAATAAAACCTGTAGCCACGAGATTATAATTTCAGTTAAGTTCTGCCTCCAAAAGACTCAATTGCAGACACACTTTGTTCATATTTAGCCTACATTGTTGTGATGAACTGCACACCTTTCTATAAGGTCAGAGTGAGCTCAGGAGGGAGGCCCAGGAAGTTTGGGAGGGTGCCTGGGGGCATCCATCTTAAAAACTCATTTCCTAGAGGGGGCGGTGCTTAGGAGCAGCCTGGAGGGCTGGTCAGTTAGTCAGCTGAGTTAGTTCGAAGATGTATAGCTATTAGATAGTATAGCTGGTGGTGTGGAGAGACAGATCTAGAAGGAAAGGACTGTCTGTGTGGAGTTTCAAGAATACTAGACAGAGGGAAAACCTGTTCGTTTCTTGAGGGAGTGGAGAAGAGTTATTGAAACTAAATGCGGAACTGTTTATTGAAAGTAACCACAAGCTTTTACTCACTATTGCAACCGCTAAGAAAGTGTCTGTATTGTCAAAAGTTCTCTCAAATAAACAACATTGTTCTTTGTTCATAACAACTGACTTAAGTGTGCCTCTGTGTGAGAAGTTTTAAAGCAGTTTATAGAAGAAATCAGAGTTAAGTGGTGGCAGCGTGTATTTAAAAAGAAATCTCTTTATTGTTACCTCAGTTTACAGAGCCTGGGTGCGAATCCAGCACATTCTAGCCTAATCAAACCTCAAGTAAGCCAAGGGCTACACATTTCTTTTAAGGGTGGTGGTAGCCAGTGTTTTTTTTAAAGGTTTTCGGCCAGAAGATCACTCCAGTTTATTCAGCTTTTGATTTTACTTAAAGAAGCCACATTCCATTTCAAGTGGTGGTACAGCGTTCGGGATTTGTTAATAAATAATCCCCTAGCCTTTATATTTTTGGTTTGCAGTGGTTTTGATTTATACTTAAATAAGTCCCTAATCTTTATAGTTGTCCTTGCCTAACCCCTACTCCTCTCCACTCCCACCATTATCTCCTCCACTGTTTAAATTTAGACAGTAAGCTCTCACGAGGGCAGGGATTCAACTCTCAAATACTCTTTTGTGTGCCTGTGCTTGTATAAACCCTTATCAAAACTAGCCTTCCTCAACAAAATTATCCCTAGCTATGTTAGATCACACCTCCCATCATCCTCAGTATGCATGGGAATTTTTTAATACCAAAAACAAATTAAACAAAAACACACAAGATATATCTTTCTCTTTCACAAACACACATGCCTCTAGCTTTCTCCAGGTACCTTCACTCTCCAAGTACTCCCATGGCTTGTCTTTAAAACGTGATTCAGTGTCAAAACCAACTGGTTCTGTGGATTCATCTTGGCTTACTTCTGTGCTATAAAGATGAACAGCCAATCGCTTGGGTAGCAGGAGACAGGAGCTAGGTATCTTCTAAGGGTACAAAGCAAAGCAAGACAAACATTAAAGGCAGGTATCAGAAATGTAGCACACCTTGAATTGCAAGGATAAATAAGTTGTAAAGCAAATCAAGGTTGAACTCTCCCTAGAAACCATGATGACTAAACTGAGTCTGTCAAGAAGGCATAACTCACTAGAAAAGACAATAGTGCTTGGTAAAGTAGGAAAAGAGGAAGACTGCATCCTAGGAGGATAAACTCAATAAAAGATGCTATGGCTCTCAATCTGCAAAACCTGAACAAGTGTTGACTTGGAGAACTCTCATACGCAGTGTTTCTCAACCCTGAGGGGGTCGCGAGGGGGAATCAAAGGGGTCACCAAAGACTATCAGAAAACACAGTATTTGCTGTTGGTCCTGGGGATTCTGTGTGGAAAGTTTGAGCCAATTCTATCCTTGGTGGGGTTCAGAAAGCTCTTTGATTTTAGGTGAACTATAAATCCCAGCAACTACAAGTCCCAAATGTTAAGGTCTATTTCCCCCAAATTCCACCAGTGTTCACATTTGGGCATATTGAGTACTCGTGCCAAGTTTGGTCCAGATCTATCATTGTTTGAGTCCACACTGCTCTCTGGATATAGGTGAACTACAACTCCAAAATTCAAGGTCAATGCTCACCAATCAATTCCTGCATTTTGGTTGTGGGCATTGTGTGTGCCAAGTTTGGTTCAATTCCATCATTGGTCGAGTTCAGAATGCTCTTTGATTGTAGGTGAACTATAAATCCCAGCAACTACAACTCCCAAATGACAAAATCAATCCCCTATAAATCCCCTATAAATCCCAGCAACTACAACTCCCAAATGACAAAATCAATCCCCTCCCCATCTCCACCAGTATTCAAATTTGGGCATATTGAGTAATTGTGCCAAATTTGGTCCTATGAATGAAAATACAACCTGCATATCAGATATTTACATTACGATTCATGACAGTAGCAAAATCACAGTTGTGAAATGGCAATGAAAATAATGTTATGTTTGGGGGGTCACCACAACCTGAGGAACTGAATTAAGGGGTCGCGGCATTAGGAAGGTTGAGAATCGCTGCTCATACGGATTCACCATATGTCAGAGTTCACTTGAAGGTAATGAACAACAACAAGCAAAATGACAAGCAAAGAACTGCCAGATTTCTAGCAAATTAGAACAATTAAAAAAATTAACTTCATTAAAGTTATGTTATATGTGTTGTATGGCCAATAATTTCCTCTGACTTTTCAATATGACAAAAAGGCAACAAAAATATTATATTTTATAACGGAAAAAGATTTTCAGTTTGCCTGTTTTACTAACAGCAAGCCACAGATATATTTTTGCCACCGAATAGAGGTCATTAAAATAGTTAAGTTGCTTTTGCATTGCACATTCCACTTGAGCCCTCCATCTTATTGTCGGCATTAATTTCACTAAACCTGACCTGACACTAACTATGGCTGGCTTTCAACTAAAGGCTTAGGCTTCTTTGCAAAATGTGATCAGCTTTAGTGCAGACTTACCACTTAAACCATAGTAACAAAGGGAAGAGGAAGAATGGAAAACCCTGACTGTATGTAAGCTCACATTAGTCTAAAGAAGCATTTTTGCTTCCATTTGCTTTATTATCACTTAGAATGGAAGTAACTGGCGTAACTTTATATTGTATATAAAGTTGCATTCAGACTATGTGTATAAAGTGTACATTAAAAAAATAATTTCATATCAAGACTTCTGTCACATCTACAAAATACAGTGTTCCCTCACCGCTTCGCAGTTTGCTTACCGCAGATTCGCTGTTTAACGGTTTTCTCTGAGTGGCCCCCGACGTTTTCCCTGCACAGCTCACGTGGCAAGCCTGTCGCCCCCACATCCATCCTCCTCCTCCTCGCCTTCCCTCCCTCCTTGCCTTCCTTCCGCCGCCATGGTGCCACAGGGGGCTTTTTCTTCCCAGCAGAGCCCTTGGTAGTGGGAGAAGTTCCAGTGGAGTGGCCAGCCAATGGGAGGTGGACCCTGCTCTCCCTCAACTGGCTGGACCGGCCAACACCCCCCCCCCCCCCGGGAGCTCCGGGAAGCCTTCAAAAGGGATGCGGAAGGCCACACCAGGCAATGTGCCTTCCTTGAGTCTGGCACTGGTTTCTCCGGCAGTGTTGGAAGTGGGCTTGTTTGGGCCTTCAGCCCAATTTTTGGTTTTATACATTTTTTTTGCTGTACAAATATTACAATTAATATAGCGTCCCTACTTTGCGGATTTTCACTGGAACAGAACCCAGCAATAAGTGAGGGAACACTGTATCTGAATATGTATACATATGCAAATGGCATTTCAAAATCCAAAACATTTTGATCCCAAACATTTCAGATAAAGGAAAAATATAATATCCTTAGATAGCAATGAACCCATTTATGGTTCGTAACAAGGTAGAGAATTTGCTTTGTCTATTTATCAGATTAGTGGCTTATTATTTGCCTCATGCTTTATGAAAAAAGGGGCTTTCAAGCCTTTTAAGATATGAGAATCAAGCGTAAACAAGGCATAAAAACAATAACTCGCCTACTGTGACTTGTAGAATGTGGCTGGGGTATTTTGCACTCTCCCTCTGTTGCAGGACAGAGGGTGAATCCATACTGTCGGAATAATGCAATTTGACATCACTTTAAAATCCAAGACTCAAAGCTGGAAGTTGTGGTTTGGTGAGGTGCCAGCACTTTTTAGCAGAAAAGGCTAAAAGCTTTGTAAACCTACAATTCCCAGAATGCCTTGCAACTGAGCCGTGAAAGTAACATGGTGTCACCCTGCATTAATACTATAGTATAGATCAGCGGTTCTGAAAGTGTGTCCCACTGAGCCCTTGGGGCTCCTCTTCCTCCTGCAAGTTTTTCCTCCTCTTTCCTGCTCCTCCCCCTCCCTCCACATCCCTTGCTGCCAAAGCCTTTTTCCCTCCCACCACTAAGGGAGTGCTTTGATTGTGCTTTTCCTGCATAGCAGAAGGGAGTTGAACTGGTTGGCCCCTTGGGTTTCTGCTACTATTATTATCAAGGCTGGATGGCCATCTGCTGGGAGTGCTTTTCTGCATGGTAGAAGGGGTTGGACTAGATGGCCTCTGGGGTCTTCCACTAAAATACTGTTCGGTTTATGTTGGTTAAAATTGTTCTTCATTTTAAATATTACATTGTATTGTTATTTCTTTCCCCTTTTTTGCACAACAAATTAAGTATGTGTAGTATGCACTGGAATTTATTCATTTTTTTTTCAATCAGTTCACTCAAACACCCTCCATCCATCTGCCACTGACCCAGCCCGTCTGTTAAATTTTAAAACAGAATACGTCAAAATGTTTGCCCATGACTGATATATATACATATGTGTGTGTGTGTGTGTATTCACGCACATACATTATATGTACATAATGTATAATATAATATATACACATTTATTGGAGCTCCATAACAAACATTGCTTCCAAAGGGTCTCTGCAACTGAAAAAGTCTGAGAACTCCTAGTATAGATGCACCCATACAACTGCATCCTGGAAAGAATCACAGCACAGAACAGCTGGGATTCCAGGCTTCCCTGACTCACCCACCCAGCTCAGATTAACAGTTTCATCTCTGTTCCATATTGTTTAAGGCAGCGTTTCCCTAATTTATTTATTTCCGGTTACTTCTACCCCGCCCTTCTCACCCCGGAGGGGACTCAGGGCGGCTTACAAAGGCACAATTCAATGCCAGCATCACATAACAGTAGTAAACAAATAGCAGCAATTAACAATTAAACAACATTACAACAATAAAACCAATAAAACCAATACAAACCCAATTACTCCTCATTGACGGTCAGCTTTCGCTATCTCATAGTCCAAATTCCAATTCCACATTGTCAGTCCTGTCAGTCCTAATCATCTGATTGTCCTTATCTAGTTGTCAGATTGCCCAAAGGCCTGGTCCCAYAACCACGTCTTTACTTTCCTCCTGAAGGAGAGGAGGGATGTTGATGMCCTAATTTCYCCYGGGAGTGAGTTCCACARGTGAGGGSCCACCACTGARAAGGCCCTGCTCCTCGTCCCCACCAACCTCACTTGTGATAGCGGTGGGGTCGAGAGCAGGGCCTCCCCAGATGATCTCAAACTCCGGGGTGGGACGTAGATGGAGATGTGTTTGGACARATACACTGGACCGGAACCGTATAGGGTTTTGTAGGTCAAAGCCTGCACCTTGAATTGTGCTCRGAACTGAACCGGCAGCCAGTGGAGCTGACACAGCAGGGGGGTGGTGTGCTCCCTGTATGACGCTCCAGTGAGTAGTCTGGCTGCCGCTTGCTGGACCAGTTGAAGTTTCCGAACAGTCTTCAAGGGCAACCCCACGTACAGTGCGTTGCAGTAGTCTATTCGGGATGTAACAAGAGCGTGGACCACTGTGGCCAGATCAGACTCCCCAAGGTACAGGCGCAACTGGTGCGCTCACGTCTCTAGATTTGTCTGTGTGTATCTCAGGCCTGGGCCAACTTGGGCCCTAACTCTGCTCCTCCAGGTGTTTCCGACTTCAGCTCCCAGAAATCCTTGCCTTTAAACCCTGTGGCTTAAAGCAGAAAACCTGGGATCAGATCCTGGGGTAAAGAGCCTGTATGGAAACCTGGCTGAATAAGTTGAATTTCAAGGAAGTCCAACACATTCTGACAACAATGAAATTAAAACCCTTTCTCAATTATGCTATCTGTTTAACACTTGCATTGATTTATCATAGAATTTGAAGAGATCACGAAGGGAGCCAGGCCTCGGCCAACTTGGGCCCTCCAGGTGTTTTGGACTCCAACTCCCACAATTCCTAACGGCCGGTAGGCTGTTAGGAATTGTGGGAGTTGGAGTCCAAAACACCTGGAGGGCCCAAGTTGGCCCAGGCCTGAGATACACACACAGACAAATCTAGAGACGTGAGTCTTTCTCTCTCTACTGTCAATAACAAGTCCGACAACTTCCTAAGCGATAGTTCTGCTAAAGACCGAGTCCTCCCTCACCTGGATCCCGAAAGGCCTTCGGAGGGCCGCCCGGAGCGCCACACGGCCTGCTGCCCGACACAGAAGCCAGGCGCCTATGGAGGCTGCCATCTTTGGGCCTCAATGCCTCGCGCATGCGCCCTGAACCTCAAGGTCCTCGCGCTGACGGCCTTGAGAAGCCAAGCCACGCGCTGTTTGGGGGAAGTTCTGTTCCTTCCCTGCAAAACTTGAAAGCTATCACCAGGAAGAACATTAAAAAAAATCAATAACAAAATAATAATAATACATTATTTAATATAAATATATTATTTATATATATTTTATATATTGATTATATTATATTATAGATTATAAAATATAATTATATTTTATATTATAATTATAACTGATTATAATTATAATATAAATAAAAAATATATAAATAAAAATGTAATGTTTGTTTGTGGGATTAACAGAACTCAAAAACCACTGGACGAATCGACACCAAATTTGGACACAAGACACCTAACAACTCAATTTATGTCCTTCACTCAAAAAAAAATTGATTTTGTCATTTGGGAATTGTAGCTGCTGGGATTTATAGTTCACCTACAAAGAGCATTCTGAACTCAACCAATTATGGAATGGAATCAAACTTGGTACACAGGACTCCCATGACCAACAAAAAACACTAGAAGGGTTTGGTGGGCATTGATGTTGAATTTGGGAGTTGTAGTTCACCTACATCCCGAGAACACTGTGGACACAAACAATGATGGATCTGGACCAAACTCTACATGAATACTCAATGTGCCCAAATGTAAACACTGGTGGAGTTTGGGGAAAACAGAATCTTGACATTTGGGAGTTGCAGTTGTTGGGATTTATAGTTCACCTACAATCACAGAGCATTCTGAACCCCACCAACGATAGAATTGGGCCAAACCTCCCACGCAGAACCCCTATGACCACCAGAGTGGGCCACAGCAAAGCAAGGTGTGGCAGGGGATGGCTAGTAATTATATATAAAAATAAATAAATAATCTATAATAATTAAATAATAATAATACATCACACAATCCTGGACGCTTGGGAAGTGTTCGACTTGTGATTTTGTGATACGAAATCCAGCATATAGATCTCGTTTGCTGTGACATACTGTGTTTTTGTGTCAGTAAAATAATAATATCAAAATTACGACAGAAACTGAAATAGAAAAATAAATAATAAGAAAATAACAATACTGTATTACTAAAATTACAATAGGAACTTAAAAAGTGGCCACAATAATAAAATAAAAATCAATAAATAATAATAAAATAAAAATCAATAAATAATAAAATAAAAATCAATAAATAATAATAAAATAAAAATCAATAAAATAATAAATCAATAACAGAATAACCATCAAGACAATGAAGATCTTCTGGTGGGGCCCTGGTCTCGGTCCCGCCACTTTCGCAATCGCGTCTGGCGGGAACGAGAGACAGGGCCTTTTCTGTGGTGGCCCCTCGGCTATGGAACTCTCTTCTGATTGAGATCAGATCTGCCCCCTCCCTCCTGTCCTTCAGGAGGCTGGTGAAATCGTGGCTATGGAAGGAAGCATTCCCAGATTAATGGTTGAAACTAGCTAGAGAACAAAGTTATCGACCACACATACAGACTGAGTTGGACATGATTTTATCTTGTCGATTTGGCTTGTTTGTAACTTTAATCAATATGTATTTTAACTCGTTATTATATGATGTTTTTAGATTGTACTGTTAGCATTGAATCCTTGCTGTAAGCTGGTCTGAGTCCCTCTACGGAGGCATTTCAAGTGGCCAGATACTGGTCAAAGGACATTTAATCAACTACCAAGCTTGCAAACTTTGTGTTTTGTCTGTCTGTTTGTTTTATTAAAAATGTAATACAAATGTCTGGTTGCTCCTGACATGATAAATAAATAATACCAGTATTAAAAAAAAAACCCTCGAAAATCCGGACAGTAAGTAAAGAGCAACATTCTAGAATGGGAATTCCAGACCAAAAAAAATCAGGGCCAGCTATCACCTCCCAACAAAGGTTTCCCACAGGCAGGAAGCAGCCAAGCTTTGATGCTGCAAGGCTATTCAATGCTAATCAAGAGGATCAGTTGCAGCATTCACACTTGCCTCCAACAGACAAGAGTTCTTTCTCCCACCCTGGACGTTCCACAGATCTATAAACCCTAACTTCTGAGGATGCCTGTCATAGATGTGGGCAAAACGTCAGCAGAGAATGCTTCTGGGACAAGGCCATGCAGCCTGGAAAATTTACAGCAACTCAAATGAAGCTTTTGTTTTTTTTTTGGCATGAATATACAATGGCAGTTCTTGTGGTTCATATGAATCCAGTTTTTAAAAAAATGCACACACACCATGATTCCAGCCACATATTTATATATTTATAATGTCAGCAGAAGACCAAACAGTTACATTGCATTTTTCAACAAGCAGACAAACAAACAAAACACAAAGTTTGCAAGCTTGGTAGTTGGTTAAATGTCCTTTGACCAGTATCTGGCCACTTGGAGTGCCTCTGGTGTTGCTGCTGGAAGGTCCTCCATTGTGCATGTGGCAGGGCTCAGGTTGCATTGCAGCAGGTGGTCAGTGGTTTGCTCTTCTCCACACTCGCATGTCGTGGATTCCACTTTGTAGCCCCATTTCTTAAGATTGGCTCTGCATCTCGTGGTGCCAGAGCGCAGTCTGTTCAGCACCTTCTGACTTGCCCAGTTTTCTGTGTGCCCAGGGGGGAGTCTCTCATTTGGTATCAGCCATTGGTTGAGGTTCTGGGTTTGAGCCTGCCACTTTTGGACTCTCGCTTGCTGAGGTGTTCCAGCGAGTGTCTCTGTAGATCTTAGAAAATGATTTATTGATTTAAGTCGTTGACTTGCTGGCTGATACCCAAACAGAGGATGCGCTGGAGATGTCACTGCGGTTGCTAGCTCCCGGCGGATGTCAGGTGGTGCGATACCGGCTAAGCAGTGTAATTTCTCCAGTGGTGTAGGGTGCAGACACCCCGTGATAATGCGGCATGTCTCATTAAGAGCCACTTCCACTGTTTTAGTGTGGTGAGATGTGTTCCATACTGGACATGCATACTCAGCAGCAGAGTAGCATAGCGCAAGGGCAGATGTCTTCACTGTATCTGGTTGTGATCCCCAGGTTGTGCCAGTCAGCTTTCATATTCCAGCCATGAAAGCCATCGACAACACAAAAGCTTAATTTATTTAATGTATTGTCGAAGGCTTTCATGGCCGGAATCACTGGGTTGTTGTAGGGTTTTTTGGGCTATATGGCCATGGTCTAGAGGCATTCTCTCCTGATGTTTTGCCTGCATCTATGGCAAACATCCTCAGAGGTAGTGAGGTCTGTTGGAACTAGGGAAAAGGGTTTATATATCTGTGGAATGACAAAGGACTCTTGTCTGCTGGAGCTAGGTGTGAATGTTTCAACTGACCACCTTGATTAGCATTTGATTGCCTGGCAGTGCCTGGAGCAAACTTTTGTTGAGAGGTGATCTGTTGTTGTGCTGTTGTAATTTTAGAGTTTTTTAATACTGGTAGCCAGATTTTGTTTAATGTATTGTCCCTTCCTTCCGCTCTTTGTTTAATTTATTTAAATACATAGTATCCTTTTTTTGAGTGGGACTCTCGCGCATGCGCACGGCGCTCTTCGAAAGCCAACTGCGCCACCAGTTTCTCGAGCCAAGAGCCGCCTTTATTGCGCATGAGCGCAATTATGCCCATTGTGCTGAATTTCTCAATTCCCTCCCTTCCCCTTTTCCAGGCTCCGCGCATGCTCAGTTCGAGGCGTCTTTGTGCCCTCTCATGCTAGGGCGGTGGCTGCGCGCGTGCACGCACGCCGCCAACGTCCTTCTTTTCTGGCCACCGCGGGGTAAGCGCGTGTGCGCATGCGCGCGAGGGGAGACTGCTAACTGCGTCACAACCTTTTTCACCGTTAAAATTAATATTGGTGGGTACCGTTGGATAGGATTTCAAAAGACGGTTCAGCCGGTGTGGTTCGATATAAATTTTGAGACGGATTTCGACGATGGGGGCGATGACGTCAGAGGTGGGCGGAGCCTCGAGGCTTTGTTCTCGAGCCGCAGCGCGCGCCGGGAGGAGGGGCGACTCGGAGGAGGGAGGGGCCGGGTATAAAAGGCGGTGCGCGCGCACCCACCGGCCATTCTGGGGTCTGTGTAAAGGTGAGTACGGTGCCTCTGCGAGCGTTGTGGTGGGGAGGGGTTTGGGAGGGGACAAAAGGCGAGTCGCATGGGATTCATACTATTTTTGGGACCCCTTTCCCAGAGTATGTCAGTATTGACATTTCTTAATTCCCACGTCATAATTATTTTCGACGAATGGCTCTTTTCAGAGCTTAAAAATAACAGGAACCACTAAAAAGCGGTTAAAATTTGAATTCAGAATCCCCCCCTTTTAAAAATGGAAATCCTGTGATTTGTGTCAACAATTTAAAAACCCAATTCGGTGTCTGGTCAGTCTTGTTGCGTAAGATTTTATGGCTCAAGATTTATTATTTATTATTCCTTGAGTCTTGTTTTTGTTGGCATAACCCAAAAAACTTAACCGTGCTTTGTCTTTTCTTTCCCTTCCTAGGTTTGCTTTGATCTCAAGACATTGTTCAACGTGCGCCGCGAAACAAAGAAAAAACCCCCACAGTTGAGCCTCTGAGACGACACACAAAGCCAGCTCTTGTTTCCGATCGTCTGTATTGCGACCCGGCGAAGAACAACTGCCACTCAAAAAAACATAAAAAAATAATCAAATTTATATTTAGGAACAACTTTCCCTGATTTTTTTTTTAACCATGCAACTTTTTGTGACTCGTTGACCATCAAAAAGTTGCAACCTTTTTTAAAAACCGAAAATGAGCTATACCAAATTTACTTTTTTTCTTTAAAAAAACACAGCTTAATCCAAAACTAAACCTTGAGGTGCTGCCGAAGAGAAAATTAATTGGATAGTAAGTGTCGCATTTTCAACCAACTGACCAAAAACAGTCGTCCGTGTCGAAGTGAGCTAATGGCACGAAGAAAAGACCAATATATATATATATATGAAGGGGAAGTGGGTTTTATTTGAGGCGTTAACCCTTAAGACGCAGGCATTTTGTGCCACCAAAATGCATATTTATAAGGAGTGTGATGGTCTCAGAAAATCATCTGACTCCAGGATTGTCAAGGGTTAATGAGCTCCCACATAACAGATGGTGGTGACTGAGCCATAAAGTGCTGCTTCTTTGTGTGGGAGACGTGGAAAGCGAGCTAAATAAGCAATCTGTACATAAAGATTGCAGGGTAAGAATGGAAGGAAGGGACAAAAAAAGCCATAACTGGGTAGTGGCCAGCGATGAGTCAATTTAATTGGATGAATTGTCATAAGTCTGGTATTTTAAAATTTGTTTAAAAGGGTTGTGTTTCTTTTAAAAAATGACGCTTATATAATGTATGTAGAGGTATGTAATACTGGAAAAAAAATAACGCAATCTACAAATAAAGATTGCAAAATGGCTTTGGGAAATCATTTAAAAATTAATCCAGTATGTATTTTTTTTTAAAAAAAAAAACCTTGTTAATGGGAAGCAGGGATATATAGGGCTCAAAATGAGGTCTAGTGTGCTTATAATGTTGTATCCATCTATATTCCCCCACCCCACTGCAGTATGGCGTTTTTCTCTTTTGTCCCTGACTAGTGGCATTGTACCTTTCCTTTACAGGATGTTTCCCTTTCTATTTTATCCTACCTCCCCCATGTGCGGAGGGAGAAAAAAAAAGGTGGGGGGGGGGCTCATTGTATTAACCCTGCAATGATAAATAATGAGGTTTGAATGTGGCACTCGCTTGAACATAACTTGCCACCCAAATTGTTAAATAGGTTCTAGTTTATAGAACTGACATAAAATGATTCAGGTGGTGTATGTGATGGCGGTTGTATGGCTGTAGTTTCTTCCTAATAGATTCTGAAGCCTCTGCTTTTATTTTCCCCCCCCTAATCGTCTGCTCCTAAAATGGCGTCGCTGCCTCTCTTCTTCCTTCTCTACAAGAGCCCACAAGGCTTTCTGGGCAGGGAGCTGATGCAAGCAGCTTGCAACAAACTCCTCCCCCTCAATAGCTTGTGCTTGCCGCCAAGCGTCAAGCGGGCAGTCATGGAAAGGAGGGGAAAGGAGCGGTGGTGCGGGAGGGGGGGGGGAAGTGGCTTACCCTTCCGCCTTGCAACCTTTTCCACAAGGATCTAACCAAATTCCACTCCCGTTTCCTCTATAGGAAATCTAGGTTACAGCTTGAGCAGTGCAAAGTATGATCATAAATCCACCGAGTTTCTTTTTTTAGGTTCCAACATAACACAAGAGCTTCGGATTTCAGTGCTTGCTCCATGTTTGCTGTGTCTTTGTTGAGACAAATCTGTTAAGTGACTGTTACTATCAGAAAGGCAACTGTTTTGTATCCTCTTCTCTCCCCGCCCCCTGCCCTGTTTTCATCTTCTGGGTCTCTGAAGGGATGGAGCAGGGAAGCATGTTTCTTAATTTCTTAATCCGATCTGATGGTTGACATGAAATGCTACCACTGGACCCCAGATATTTAGCCAGTGTCAGTGACATTTGCTAAACCTAATAAGGTTCTGCATGGGGGATCTGGGCATTTTCTCTGTCCAAATGTACACCAAAGGGGCAATGGGGTTGGGTGGCGGGAGTCTTGTATTAATTTGCCACATTCCACCGTTCCTGTACAATGTACTAGGAAAGAAGTGATCATTAGGAAAAAGGGAATCCAGCACTTGTATTACTTCATCAAAGGGAGGGGAACAGCCACAATTCCACCTGGTAAGCAAAATCTTTCTGGTATTAATTACATCTCACAACCTTCATTTCTGTTCCAGACCACTTTTGTTCATTTTTTAAAATTATTATTTTTTTTGCTGCTGTTCTCTTCCATTGTCAACACCCTAAACTGACACCTACTGATGCATGCAGGCTGTTAAGGGTCTTGGTATGTTTGCCAATCTGTTGAGGACACTAGTGTTTTCCAAGTTGGTTAATTCCTTTAAACAGGATTCTGACTCCTTGAATGGTTCTGCATGAACATCAACTAGCATTTCGGTGATGCTGCCCTTGAGACTTCTTCATTAAGAGCTGACGCTGTGAAGGGAATATTCCACAAAGTTAAACTTTTATTATCTCCAGTGGTAGCATTTCATATTGTAAATCCCAAACCCACAACCTGATGACACTGTTCTGGCTTTTTTACCAATTGAATGCACCTGCCATTTCCCACAAGAACATTGCAGGGTGCTGTAGTCAGAACAATGTGTCTGTATTTGGGGTTGAATAGAATGAGAATGTAAACTTGCAAATGTCCATTTAATCCTACACTTGGATGACTTCCTGTTCAGGCCATGCACCTGTTGTAGTAAGATTTGCCTCTCAATAGCAAGACACCGATAAAGTGGATGTTTTTTTTTAATACAACAGTCGCAGGATACCCGGGAATATTTATGCAGCAAAAATTGGGAACTGCCAAAATGGCATTTAAAATAAATATCTATTAGGATAGACACTTGCAGTTCCATGAATGCACACCAATAATTTATCTGTGACGTCTATTATAAAATGCTCAGAAACCCAACAGCTAAGATCTTGTATTTTAGAGAATTCATTTTTGCGATAGCATGCAACTGCCTAGCTAATAAGTTACCCCAGCACTAAAGCAGGCAAAACCAGCTAATCCTAAGATTCCCTTTAAGACCATTGTTCAAAAGATTCCTTTTAAAGAAAAACAAGAGTGTTAGGAATGTTGGTTTGCATAGGATTCCAAAACAATTCTGGAAGCCTTACAAGAACTACTGCCTGGTTCAATCATTTTATGGCTATACTATCACTGTCTCCAGCACTGGTCTCTTTCTTCATGACTTGACTCCTGCCAGATGTTATAGTTACATTGTTATGTCAGCCAGTAATTTGATGAGGCAGTGAAATGTCACAAGACTAAGCTAGAGCAGCTGGTTGAGGTTGTCTTTGTCTATATGCGCAATGTAAAAACATGCAGCTGGGACCAGTCCTCCCCTCTTTCCCTTTAGATCTTCCAACAAGACACTAGAAATTCTCATCCTTTAATAGCTGCTGAAGGAAGTGGGTGGATTCTGCTTTGTCCTAAATTTGACTCATGATAGTTCAACCTGCAGTTTCATCTTTTGCATACTAAACACTTAAGGGGAGAGCTATCCCTGTATTCAAAAATAACTTCTCATCATTCTGTATTGACAAAGAATAGTTTCCTTCCTGAACATACTTAACAGGAAATACAGGTCTAATTTTCATGTAAGTGAAACAAAATTTGGTGCATAACACACCTGAGAAGAGTGGGCTATTTTTTTTATTTAAGAATTTGAGTTCACAGTTGGGTAAAAAAATTTCAAGATGTGGTAGAGTATGGGTATTGACCCAAGTGTGAATTCTTCATAGGCCAGGGTGGGTATTTTTAAAAATCCATTTGAAAGTTTTGGATAGTCAGACCAACCTTTAGGAGAAGAGTTTTTTGGCATGGCTACATGCTGCTATAAAAATGTGTTGCTATACAGCAGTAGCAGCCTTGATTTTGATAGGAGGTACATAGACATTTGAGGGAGCGGTGTTAAATGCAATAAATTTACAAATGCACCTGTTGGAAGATTGAAACCTAATATGCCTGTTTTCCAGGGGCTTAATCTTTTTTTTTTTAACTTGTTGCTAAACTAACATGAGAACACTCAGCTGGATTCCAATGCTAAGAAACACTGATAAGAGAAACCAGACACATAATACTTAAGAGGTTTTGCTATTAATACTTTTTTAAAAAGTCTGCTTTTTTAAAAGTCCCTTTTCTTGAAATGCTGTCTTCAAGTGGAAATGCTTATGTGCTACAGTTTAGTTTCTCCATGCTTGCTAGGCTAGAAGTTCTTTAGCACATTGCATTAATGAACTGTTTGCCATAGAAAGTGTAACAACTGTTCCTTGGTAATTCTGGGAAGATGTTTTAAAAACACTTGCTAACATATATTAATAGAATTGTAGGGTATGAAGGTGTGTGTCTTCATTGGATTAAAAACCTGATTCCATTCCCTAAACTGTAAGTACTAAGCAACTCTCCTTGTGGAGTCCAATCCTGAAGAACTCAGGTGAATTGGAGCAACGGGGAAGAGAAAATAATAAGATGGGTAGATAAGTTTAACTATGTTACAGTATCACTTTGTTTAACGCCTCTCCTCTCCCCCCTCCCCCCCTGCATAGTTCCTTATCCTGGCTTTGACACTGATACAGCTTCCACATTACTTCTGTAAATGTAAACCCAAGCTATGTTAGATTCTTTGCAGTATAAGCAAAGCAATATAGTGAGAGTAAGCTGCTATAGCTAATTGACTTGCATCTCACATCACCAGTTTGACAAAATATGAACAATGCATTCCTCTTGGGAGTGTCCCTTGAGAACAGGTTCCCTGAATTTCAGGTGCTTTGCTTTCAAATAATATGTAGGATTGATAGATAATAATTATACAATGTATTTGGGGGGGGGGGGGGTGAAAGCTTGAATGCTAATTTAGAAGTACCTGGACTAAATCTCTTCTCACTTTTCTGATATACCGTAAGCTGCAGTGTTTGTATTGCAAATTAGATTTTGTTAAACTTCAGTTACAGAGTTGACTAACACACAGTGTTAACAATGTTTTCTTTCTTGTATTTTACGGTGTTTTGTTTTGCAATATAATACGAAAATGGCATGTGTGTTTAATTTTGTTAAGCCCGTATATTATCCATGCAGCCGATATACTTGCATATATCTCCTAATCCTACACCTTGAACAATCTTTGTGAATTGCTTTAATTGAAGAAGCCATAGAATCACACACTAAAATTCTAAAATTTCAGTGTGTGATCAAGCACCACGATCCTGCTTCTTCTGGCCAAATAATTTTCCCTTTTGGCAGTTTTAGA